CCAAAGTTCATTAAATCCCCTGTCTTCCCCATTCTGATGCACAGTTTGGACTGTAGATCAGAAATTTGCATTAACAAGCAGTTGGACCAGTGTGTCTAATAAAGTGGCCAGTGAGTGTATATGCCTGTTTATTCATCCTTTAAGTTTAATACTGGTACACTATTGCAACTCATCATCCATAACTTTATATATAGACTAATTTATTTGAGTGTGTAGATTAGTTTGGCGAGTTCCACATCTGATATCAATTTCATGTCTAATATTAGAAGCACAATTACTGATAGAATTGGGCGTTTAAAGTTTTCAAGTACGTTATATATGTCACACTGCTAAAACTACAAAGGCACGTCATTTTATTTGAAATAAGTGTGCCTTTCCTTGTGTTAAGCAATTAAGTAAGACAATTTGCTAGTGGAATAAGATGATTTGAATTTAAAATAAGATTTAAAAAAAAATAAAATAAAAAAAAATGTCAAATATCTATTTACCGGTATCTTATTTTTAAGGCAAGAATGGTCATTCCATTGGCAGATGATGCTATTTATCTGCTCAAACTAGGGGGGGAAAGCCTTTTATTTATTTTTAGATCACTTTTTGCAGTCCAGATAGTTCAGAAACCAACTGTAAAGACAATTGTAAATGAATAGGACAAATAAAAGGGATTGTGATGTATTTAGAAGTCAAGTTGTGATAATGTCATATTTGTTTTTGAGGAACAAGAAGGGTATTTCAGATTTTCAGTGAGACTGTCTGCCTTTTGACCACCTGGGCAGATGAATAACAATGCCTAACTTTTGACAGGACTTGGGTGTTTCTCCTCTCAATAGACTGAAATGGATCTCTGGATCTGTGGCTCTCATTTTTTATCTTTTTAATACAGCTGTTCAAACCAAACTGAAGGTTGTTCATTGGCAACGAGGGAATGGCTGGCCTATCTTGCTCGTCTTGCTAGATGGTTGGATGGTTTCCCACTTTAGATAAATCTGAAAGAGAACTGAATGCCAAGAAAACAAGAAAAAAACATTCAAAACTGTACAAGAACCTTATAGAAAAAATAGACTGAGGTTCAAGGGAACCATACTCACGAAAAACATACATGTCAACCAAATCTGGTAAGTTTATCATCAATGATTCTGATTCTGCAGGAAAAAAAGATAATTTGTGTGTATTCTGTTTTGCTCTCAGCTAATTAAATTCAGTTTGTTTATATTGCACCAATTCACAACACAGGTAATCTAAAGGTACTTTGCAATTTAACCAGATCATACAGTCAAATGGATTCAAAGTTTTCTATCTAAGGAAAACCAGTTGATTGCATCGAATCATTGACTCAAATCCCTCACACTAAGCATGCTTGGTGGAGAGGAAAAAGGAAGAAACCTCCAGCAGAACCAGACTCAGGCTGACTGGAGTCCAAGGAGACAGAAGCAGAGATAGAGAAAGAAGCAGAGATACAAAAGGCAACTGTCAAACAGCTCCACAGGCGGCCCCGTCCAGGAAACACACAGCCAGGCAGAAGAGCTCCGATCCAACTCCCATGTCAGAGGATGAAGAGAGCACATCTAGCCAGTCATAGTCAGAGAAATCGAACTACACTGGCAGCAGCACAGCTGATATTTCTCTCCAGGATGGTATCACAGCCATACAGGAAATGACGAGGCAAAGCTATTATGAGAAAAAGCAGAAAGAGCGTAACGTTAGAAACTGAACTAACAAATTCTGCAGAGTGAGAAAATAGAGATAGAATGATAAAAAAGGGGTCCCTATGTCTTCCAGAAGTCTAAGTCTATAGCAGCATAACTATAGAGATAGCCCAGGATAACATAAGCTCTTTAAGAATAAGCTTTATAAAAAAAAGAAAGTTTTAAGCCTATACCCTTAAAAGTAGACAGTATGTCTGCCTCATGGACTAAAACTGGTAGTTGGTTCCACAGGAGAGGAGCCTGATAACTAAAAGATCTGCCTCCCATTCTATTTTTAGAAATTCTAGGAACCACTAGTAAACCTGCAGATTGAGAGCAAAGTGCTCTGTTAGGAACATAAGGAACAATCGGGTCTCTGATATAAGATGGAGCTTGGTAATTTAAGGCTTTAAAAGTGAGAAGCAGGATTCTTAATTCTGGATTCTTCAAACGGCTACTCGGTTCAAGGCGGCCAGCAGCACCCATCAGTGTGCAGGGTTGACATGATCTGCAAATCAACCAATCAAAGCTGACTCTGGAAAACATGAGTGATGTTTTTCTTGCTGACCATCACTAAAATATGAATCTCTGTTATTGTTTTCTATGAAATGGCTTGGCTCAGATTTAAGCTTATGTAAAAAGAATTGCTTTCCTAGACACTTTCAAGTTGTCAATCATGTAATCGGTTCACTGCAATGGAGAAAGGTTCCAGAATGTGACTCATTATTCAGTAATTTAAAATAGCTTGTTATGCAGTTCTAAAAGACATTCTGGGAAAGAAATATGTAACAAAATAAGATTTATGAACTAAGAAATTACATAAACATCTTTGTTAAAGACAGCATAAAGTTGGTTTTTGCAGCGTAAACAGATGCCCTGTTGTTTCAATAAAAAAAGCATTTCAAAGCTACGTTTGAAATAATTTAATGATCTGGAAATACTAATTTTGAACACACAAGAGCAATCTTAAAAGTAGGCATATTCATCCAGCCAAAACAATAATGAGAATTTAAGTCAAAATATCAAGGACTCTGAAGGGCCTCTGCTGGTTTTAGGGGGCCACGATACCAAGTAAAGTTATTTAAGCCCATGCCCGCTGTAATTTATGTACTAAAAACTAATGCCAGAGATCACAATCTGAATAAAAGCATATCCCTTTGAGTCAAGTTTGTGTGTCTCTGTAAACCAGGGGTCACCAACATAGTGCCTGCGGGCTCCAAAGGGGCCTCATGGACCATATACAGGTGCTGGTCATAAAATTAGAATATCATGAAAAAGTAGATTGATTTCAGTAATTCCATTTAAAAAGTGAAACTTGTATATTATATTCATACATTACATACAAACTCATATATTTCAGATGTTTATTTTGTTTAATTTTGATGATTACAAATGACAACAAATGAAAATCTCAAATTCATCATATCAGAAAATTAGAATATTACTGAAGACCAATAAAAACAAAGGATTTATAGAAATGTTGGCCAACTGAAAAGTATGAACATGAAAAGTATGAGCATGTACAGCACTCAGTATTTAGTTGGGCCTCCTTTGGCCTGTATTACTGCAGCAATGCGGCGTGGCATGGAGTCGATCAGTCTGTGGCACTGCTCAGGTGTTATGATAGCCCAGGTTGCTCTAATAGTGGCTTTTAGCTCTTCTGAATTGTTGGGTCTGGTGTATTGCATCTTCTTCTTCACAATACCCCATAGATTTTCTATGGGGTTAAGGTCAGGAGAGTTTGCTGGCCAATTAAGAACAGGGATACCATGGTCCTTCAACCAGGTACTGGTAGCTTTGGCACTGTGTGCAGGTGCCAAGTCCTGTTGGAAAATGAAATCTGCATCTCCAAAAAGTTGGTCAGCTGCAGGAAGCATGAAGTGCTCTAAAACTTCCTGGTATGTGGCTGCGTTGACCCTGGACCTCAGAAAACACAATGGACCAACACCAGCAGATGACATGGCACCCCAAACCATCACTGACTGTGGAAACTTTACACTGGACTTCAAGCAACGTGGATGAAGTGCCTCTCTTCTTTTCCTCCAGACTCTGGGACCTTGATTTCCAAAGGAAATGCAAAATTTACTTTCATCAGAGAACATGACTTTGGACCACTCACCAGCAGTCCAGTCCTGTTTCTCTTTAGCCCAGGCAAGACGCTTCTGACGCTGTCTGTGGTTCAAGAGTGGCTGTCTGTGGTTCAAGAGTGGCTTGACACAAGGAATGCGACAGCAGAAACCCATGTCTTTCATACGTCTGTGTGTGGTGGTTCTTGAAGCACTCACTCCAGCTGCAGTCCACTCTTTGTGAATCTCCCCCACATTTTTGAATGGGTTTTGTTTCACAATCCTCTCCAGGGTGCGGTTATCTCTCTTGCTTGTACACTTTTTTCGACCACATCTTTTCCTTCCCTTCGCCTCTCTATTAATGTGCTTGGACACTGAGCTCTGTGAACAGCCAGCCTCTTTAGCGATGACCTTTTGTGTCTTGCCCTCCTTGTGCAAGGTGTCGATGGTCGTCTTTTGGACAACTGTCAAGTCAGCAGTCTTCCCCATGATTGTGTAGCCTATAGAACTAGACTGAAAGACCATTTAAAGGCTTTTGCAGGTGGTTTGAGTTAATTAGCTGATTAGAGTGTGGCACCAGGGGCCATCAATTTTGAACCTTTTCACAATATTCTAATTTTCTGAATCAAAATTAAACAAAATAAACATCTGAAATATATGAGTTTGTATGTAATGTATGAATATAATATACAAGTTTCACTTTTTAAATGGAATTACTGAAATCAATCTACTTTTTCATGATATTCTAATTTTATGACCAGCACCTGTAGGACTAAATTGTGACAAGCTCTTTTTAATGCTTCTTTTATTTGACAAAGACAAAGTGTTTTTATATCTGTTTTATGTATTGATTTATCTCTCTCAATTTTTTTTTCAAGATTTGTGAACATGCTGTTTTGCTTAATGTATGCACTTTACAAAGAAATGTATTAGGGAGTTTAACTGAGCTACATTAGCTATTGTTCTAATTTATTCTAATTAAATGAAGTTTTTTAAAATTACAGGTTTAAGACAAAATTACATGGTTAAAACATTTTGTTTTTATAATCGTTTCTTATTTACTTCTAGATACAGTAGGGTTGTCAAACGTATCACATCACCACCTGAAAGGAAAGCCTGCAATACCTCCCTTCCACCGGGTGGGGGTGCCCGTGCACCCCTTGCGTGTTGACATCAGCGGCACAACGTGCGGCGCTAAACTTGTGCGTGTTGCGCTCACTGTGCCACGAATCGCCGTTTCTGGTCCATCTTGTGAAGCAAGCAGAAGCGGTGTCGTTTGTTGCTAAAGCAGGAGACATTCAAGCTTCTGTCCTTTGCTTCTAACCCTCGTCTCTTCTTCTTCGGCGCGCTGTAGAGGCTGTTAGAGGCTCTCAGCCTCAAAGACTGTGCTGGAGGGAAAGGTAAGGTTATAGCAGGGAATCCAGGAACTGGGAACCACACTCTGCGTCTACATGTCATTCGAGGTTATTACAGCCGTCCTGTCGAGGTTTCCAGACCTACATACAAGCATATGACACAGCTCTGCAGGGTTGCCAGAGGATGACATCCAACATATGCTCTTGGATCTGATTGGGAACAGCTACGGAGCCGTCATCTGGAGCGGCGCCACGCAGTGCTGGGATGTAGGGCAAACTTTAGGAGCAGATTACGGGTGTGGATGGGGGGGCAGATGATAAATCAGCAGGCACATAGAAATAAAAAAAATATTAATAAAAAGATAGAGAGATAAGTGTAGGTTCTATAGATCAAACATACTATTTATGAATCTAAAATGATATTCAAGTTCGTTATATCCGTGCCTAGTTTAGGTACAGAGAACGAAAAAAAGCGCTGCAGGCATATTTATAAAACTGAGCTCGGGAAACAGACGTTTTCTTACTATTTTCCTTGCCACTACATTCCTGAATGTCACAATAGTATTGTTAAAAATAAAAAAAAATATCAAATATTTCAAATAAAAAGAAAATAATAATAAAATTGCCTAAATGCGGTTGGCCTACATCCTTTTCAAGCAAAATAATTTTTTATTAATCTTAACAAAAGTTTTATTTGGCTTTAATTCATTCTGCGCCTGCTTTATGGTTCATCCTCTTAACTTAGGGGTTGTTTTAGTATTCAAAATAAAATGTGATTTGTTGTCTTCCGCACGTATAAGTAAATAATAGAAATATGAAATACATGATCTATTCGTGTGGTTTAAAAATGTAAAGGTTTGACAAATGATGTCAAAATCAAGATATCTTAAATAAGACGGGTGAAAGCAGGCCTCCAACTATATCTCGCATGTGAAGAATAACATCTCGATTTTTTTTTTATTTTAACATATCATTATATTTGATTTATTTATTTAGTAATTTAGATTTAAAATAATATAAACAAAATGTCACAATTTAAGATATCTATAAGAGTTTTTGATGCTGTCAATATCAATCTGATTTACGTTTAAAGGTATTTTTTACTTTGCGTATTTTTGTTTTATCTTTTTTTTTTTAAGAAAAAGTTTTTCAGAAATATTTGGATCTAAAATTATAAATAATAAGGTACAAATCTGAACATTTAGCAGTACAATCTGACTTTTAGATGCAATCTCTTCTTTTTAACAGAATACTATACATTTTGGATTATATGAAAATATTTCTGCAAATGTGTAACTTACAGTAACAATTAGATGAGAAATAAGGGACAATTGACATATAAATCAATGTTTGGCCAAGGATAATTTATTTTTGGTGTATATCTTTTTCTATTTTTTTATTTTTTCGTTTTTACAGTGTCTGTGCTTGCATAATTCATTCGACTATTATTGAGTTTAATAAATCAGCTATATCATCTATTTTTTAGTTTTAGAATTGTATTTCATTTGGAATTTAAATTTGTGTAATTTGTCTAATGTGTTTAAGACTTAACTATTTAGAATCATCTGATTAAATTAAGCTAGAAAAAAAATAGGTTTACTGAAAAGAAAGTTTTTTTTTTTTTTTCATAATTTTGATAATGGTATTAAATCGGCTAAAAAAGATTGTTTTTTTTTTTATTTAAAAATGATTCCACTTTCATTATTCATTATTACGTACATTTTTTATATATGATTTAGATTTTTGTGCTTTTTAAGCTTAACCTTTGCTTAATTGTCAACTGTATTAACTGTCAAGTTTGCGCATGAAGAAGTGGAGTGGAACTGCTTTAATAACATAATTAGGATCAGCAGAACTGCCAATTTCTCAGTGCTGCGCAGAAGATGCGTCAACAATTATGAGTTTAAACAACATACTGAATGCGTCTTACACTGGCAGCAGCCTTAATTTAAAGCTCAATAAAACCTGGCCATGAGTTGACCTCTTATTGTGGCGATATGTTTGTAGCCTAACCGCAGGGCATGGAGTGTCACTCAAACGCTATTTAGGAAGAAAAATCCACCACCTGAATAGGAACTGTGGAAAAATCCTAGAAAATTGGCCAGGAAGGAAATGGCTCGTAATAAATCGGCCAAAAAGCGAGCAGAGAGAGGCCTCAGAGCGCTGATTAATATTGGGCCCTGTAAAAACGGGACTTTTTCACATGGTGCCTGCAAATATCCAAGGTGATCAGGTAACGGTGGCTGTAAAGTAAATTTAATCAAATAATTACGTAAGGTTTTTTTTTTTAAGTATGCGCTGTCATTCATGCGTCCTGTAGGGCAGGCATCCCCAAACTCGGTCCTCGAGGCCCGCTGTCCTGCAGGTTTTAGAGGTTTCCCTGCCTTAGCACAGCTGATTATAATGATTGCAGTAGACCAAAAGCCTGTTAATCAGCTTTCAATTAAAATCAGCTGTGCTGGAGCAAGGAAACCTCTAAAACCTACAGGACAGCGGACCTCGAGGACCGAGGTTGGGGATGCCTGCTGTAGGGGACATAATGAACGCACCTAATCACAGAAGTCTGTCTGGTGTTTCACATTTGTTTTGATATATATATTTTTTTATACTTTTTTTTTTTTTTTACACTTGGGGTATATTTTAATAAATTACTTTGTTTATGTTAACTTTATTGAGAAAATGTGTGAAGAGTTTATTTTCAAGAGGATTGTTTTCTATTTCTATTACCATTTAAGGGAAGTGTGTAAAGTTTTTTCCCCCCAGCCATCCAGATCACTTTTAGTTGTAAAATTTACGAGGGTATAATCCTTGTAACAATAAAAAGATTAATCAGCCAAATATGACAGGTTTTGTAAAATGTTCACGTAAGGTTGTTAATTATTAGTTGGGATATTGTATAATGCTACCAGGCATTATACAATATATATGAAATACTATACTATCATATATATATATATATATATATATATATATATATATATATATATATATATATATATATATATATATATATATATATATATATATATATATATATATATATATATATATAAACCAAGTTAGGGTCTTTCCATAAAGGAAAAGTACCTGCCTTTCCATTAAGTGTTATGAAAAATCGAAACTGATTTTAATTCTTTGTAATGGCCTTATGTTCCTCCCCCACTTCGGTGTTACAAGTGTCAGAGATATGGTCACATTGCTGCAGTGTGCAGAGGCAAACAGAGATGTTTTAAATGTGGAGGGGAGCACAAAATACAAGAATGTGGTGAAAATACTCAGATTAAATGCTGTAATTGTGGTGGAGAGCACAGAGCAACATATGGAGGGTGTGAAGTTAGGAAGAAAGCAGTTGAGGTTCAAAAAGTGAAATCAACAAACAATCTAAGTTATGCTGAGGCGTTAAAGAAGGTTCAGGAAAAGCAAAAGGAAACTGTGAGTAACATCCAAGAATTAAGGCGAGAACCAGAGCAGCATGCCAGGGTTTTTAACCCTGTTGACTTTGACAAACTTGTTTTGTTTGTGGCTTATGTTATTAACTGCACAGACCAGGTTAAACATAAAAATGAGAAAATCAAAATCATTGTTAAAGGAGCTGAAAAATTCTTGGGGATGAGGAATATGTCGTTGGATCAAGTTATACAAAAACTTGAGGCAGATGGCAATAAACCAAAGTAAGAGTGATATAAAAATCGATATGAGTATAATAGAAGTTAAAAGTTTTTAAAAGAAAGATAGGAGAAGATTGGCAAAAACAGTGGGAAGAAGATTTAAAGGAAGATTACTTTTTCGTTATTTATTGGCTACAGGTTTAGTCAAAAGAATTTAGTTTTTTTTTTTTTTTTTTTTTTTTTTTTTGAGCATGTCTGTCTTGATCCACACTCATTACTGGTTGGTGGCGGTAATGCACCTCTTAATTGTTTGCCAACCGCCATAAAACAAGAAGAAGAAGAATTCTTTGTAATTCTTCAGTTTCGTTTCACTTGTATCAAAAATGTTGCTCCCCACATCAGGGAAACAACGGGAGATGGAGAGAACAGCAGGAGCCTTCGAGCTGCATTAATACCCCCTCCCTCTCGTTTCCTCGCTCTCTGTGTAGATCTCGCGAGAGCTCCAAGCACGGGCTCAGCTGGCCGTGGCTTTGCTGCAGTCGGAGGGAGAAGGCAGGCAGGCGGCAATATGGCGGACAGAGACAGTGGAAGTGAGCAGGGAGGAGCGGCCACGGGCCCAGGCTTCGGCTCCATGCACTTAGCGGCAGGAGGGGCGGGCTCGGCTTCCGGGCTCCAGCACGAGACGCAGGAGCTGGCGTCAAAGCGGGTCGACATCCAGAACAAGCGCTTCTATTTGGACGTAAAGCAGAACGCAAAGGGCCGCTTCTTGAAGATAGCCGAAGTCGGGGCCGGCGGAAACAAGAGCCGCCTCACTCTCTCCATGTCCGTGGCTGTCGAGTTCCGAGACTACTTGGGGGACTTCATCGAGCACTACGCCCAGCTAGGACCGAGCAACCCGGGGATGGTACAGGACGAGCCCAGGCGGGCGCTAAAAAGTGAGTTCCTGGTCCGAGAAAATCGGAAATATTACATGGATCTGAAAGAGAACCAGAGAGGACGGTTTCTACGGATCAGACAGACCGTTAACCGGGGGCCCGGGTTGGGATCCACGCAAGGCCAGACGATCGCTCTGCCCGCCCAGGGACTTATTGAGTTCCGCGACGCTCTGGCTAAACTTATTGACGATTACGGTCTGGAGGACGAGCCGGCGGAGCTGCCCGAAGGCTCGTCGTTGACTGTGGACAATAAGCGGTTTTTCTTCGACGTTGGGTCCAATAAGTACGGTGTCTTTATGAGGGTGAGCGAGGTGAAGCCCACCTACCGCAACTCTATCACGGTGCCCTACAAAGTGTGGTCCAAATTCGGGAACACTTTCTGTAAATATGCCGAGGAGATGAAGAAGATCCAGGAGAAGCAGCGGGAGAAAAGGGCATGCGAGCTGCAACAGGAGGAGATGCAGGCGGACGATGGAGATGAGGATTGATAATGGAGGAAAACATGCAAGATTAATGAAAATAACCACAGAATTAAAGTTCAAACTCTACTGTATAAAGGAAGGATCTAAAGATTTTAACTGTCAAAGTTTAACTCCAAGGGAGCATCACTCAGTATAAGAAAACCTCCACAACCTGACAGTTATGACATGTTGTCACTCATCGCTGGATGTTACCCCACTTATCACCATTAATACAGTAACAGGCTGCTAAACAAAGTAATAACATTATATTCGAACATTGATTCCTACTTGATAATATTGAACGGAGTGTTTATTTCCCTTATTAACAGAACTTTTGTACCAGTTAAAGCTATTGTTAAAAAGGTGTTTGCAATGTTCAAATAGAAAAAGAGGGGAGGGGGGGTTACTTTACATGTGAGCTAATGACTTCAGCACAAATCCGATATTTTGATCTTTCAAAAAAGAATCCAAATCTTTATTTAAACAACAAAAAAAGTGATCACATGTACTTGCCATTACCTTTACCTGTGAGTAGAGATGTGTTTACACATAAATCATTTATGAGGGCTAGGCTTGCTATGGAAAGTGGTTAGATGTCATGCAGTACATAAAAAGGAATATAGAGGCATTTTCATGAAATGAAATAAGTGCTATATTTGTTGTGCAATATGCATTTGAGATGAATTAATTATATTAAACTGGTCAACAGTTGTTGACATGGCCGTTGCTAGAGGCATTCAAAGAAATATAGATATCGTAATTCTTTTTGTTTTATATTGTTGCCATGCCGATGGATATATTATAGACTACCTTTCTGTCTTATCATTGATGCAATGTGTTAACTTAAAAAAAGGTACTAAGTGTTTTTGATGGAGGAAATGCAATGAGAACATGTAGCAATTTGCCCCAGTTGAAAAAATTAAGACACACACAAGAGGTTTAAGTGGCTCAATTCAATGCAGACGAGGGTTACGTGAAAATAGAGATGCACCGATCAGCATGATGATTTCCTTTAAAATGAGAGGCCCAATTTTTTTTACATTTGACTTATGAGCTATAATGCATGAAGAAAGGGTCACAAATTAAAAGTATTACATTAATATTTTTTATGTTTTCATCGACATTCAAAAAATTGCAACAAATTACGCGCTATAGCTAAGAAAGGCTGATGGTTCTCAGTTTTTATACATTTTTGAGTAGAAATTGTTTTTCTTCACATTATTTGACCTGCAGATCAACTATTGGAGCTCATGAAGACCAAATCAGGGTGCATCTGTATCCATAACAGATTATTTTTTGTTTCCTTTTTAGTTATAAATGGAGACGCACCAATAGACTTTGCTTAACCCTGTATATGTTAGTTTTTTTTTCTTTCTTGTTTTCCAAAAATCTAAATATTTGCCGCAAGTTATTTAATTGACATGTAGGTGTTAAATCTAACTCCAATGAAGAAATACAAATTACCATTTGTGCCTTGAAGCGTATTGCTCTAATAATTGCAAAGTATACCTTTTATTTTATTTATTTTTTTTGGACAAAAAAAAATAATGGGCCTTTTTTATTTTGAGCCGTTATTCTTTGGATAAATTGCTGGATTTTTTTTTTTTTTATCCTCTTCAGATCAGAGCTAATCCATCAAAATCTGTCTGCTTGGTGCATCTCTACTCTAAAAAGCCACTATTGTCATCAGTTACAAATGAATTGCAGCACGGATCAGAATTCTCTGACAAACATTCATGGTTTTAATTTATAACTTCTATAATATTGCATCATTTAAAAACCATAGGATATTGAAAGTTCATATTTGTAGTTTATGGTCGGACTCTGCCGTTAGTTGGCAGGACATATATGTGAATTATTCTTAGGCATTTAATGTTTAATGAAGAAAAAAATATATATTTAGTTTTTGCCATTCCCTATTAGCAGTTTTAGGGGATATCATCTGATTAAATAATTGGTGCATCTCTACCTGAAACAGCAGCATTTTGTGATATTCAGTCATAAAAGTCTAAATGGTGCCAAGGAGTGCTCTTGCTGCATGTTAACCTGCACTAGATGAGATTTCATCGGTCTCCTGAAATATCGCTTCAGGACCTTTTCTTCTCTGATGTAGGAGAGGAATATGTCTCAGAAAGGAGATTGTAAATGGTAACAGAATGGAGTTGGTGGCTCTACAAGTTAAATCCTGAGCGGTTATTTTGGGAGCATGCTGCAGCTTAATTTAAGATTTGTAAGCCCAAATATCTGTCTGGGGAATGAGGGCAGTCTGATCTAATTGTATATACTTGGGCTGCCAGTTGGTAAAAAGACTGGTTCTGAAACCAGTTCAGTCGCATCTCATAGATGTTTGATAGCAGTTTTATAAACTCTTGTCAGTAAGTTCCAGAGAAACTGGCAACAATCAGAATATTTCAGATTTACCTCATCAACGAATCAAACGATTGCTCCCGCCTTCCAATTGACTGGAAACCAGCAAAACTAGACTTTCCTTGACAACCTTACTACCAGGAGCCTCTGGTTTAAGCCTAAACGACACCTGTATGGGGAGCATCCTCTTCAGCATATAAAACAACCTGGTGCCTTACACACTCCGCATGCTTACACGCTGGCCTGGTGCTTTGGATCGCAGTTTTGGCTTTTCTTTCTCACGCTTCTTTTTTTTTTTTTTTTTTTTTTTCCAGTTTTGTGTCTCGGCCCCCTTGTGTGCTAGCGCACGACTCGTGGTGCTAAAAGGGTTTGCTACAAACCCTGGGGAGCAGATTCTTAACTCTTTTTCTGCTGCCTTCCTTTCTTCCCTATAACTCCATTGCTTCCCCTTTTAGCCATCCAGGTATCGGCCTACATGTAAACATGGAAGGGGGTGGTCACCTAGATGCAAGACGATGCAGAGGATCAGGCTAATGTCTCGTTGAGCGAGAGCTAAATATTTGGAGAAAAAAAACAAAGATCGTGATGGAAGGACCCCCCCCCCACACACACTTGAATCACTAATTTTGATCTAAAATAGCTGTGTGGCAGTAAATGGGAAGTAGCGAAACAATTTTTCATTTTCTAGAATTTAAACAGAACTACCTTTTCAGCATTATTCCACTTTATTTGTCATTTTTGAATGTTTTTGCCCATAAAAGATGCATCTATTTTTATTTTTCCTGTGCAACATTTCATCACTGTGTGCAATATCGTATGTGCCAACGGTGGCAATATATGTGTATCAATTAAATATATTAATATAATTTTAAAAAAAGCATGTGACTAGGTTCCATGTCTATTTCTCATGAAGGAGTCGTACGCTTTTATTTGCACTCGAAGCTCTATCCTGAAAAGATAAAAAATTATAGCAGAAACCAAGGGTGTTTGCCGCCTGTTGGGTCAAGCCGTTCACACGTACTTTAACTTGAAACATCATCACTGCAATGTGCCCCTCTTTTAGAAACGGGTCGAATCGACCCTGTGGGTTCTAGAAGGTAGACTTTAAACATCCAAATGTAGGTATTGTTTTTTTTTTTGATTAAATGGGGAAAAAAGAAGAAATCTCCATTTTTAGCTTTATGCTAAGAAAAGGTGCTTCAGTCCAATCCTCATTCAGATGTAAGGTTAACTGTCTTCAGTGGTTGTTGTGTGTAGCACTTTGCTTTTCCCAGGTTAATGAAATGCCTGACCAATACTTGTTTAAAAACGATCTCAACAAAGAATGTCATTCTCTCTTATGTTGCCTCCTTTTTTTCTCTTTTTAGATGATATATATATATAAATATATATGATTTGCTCATGTGATGCATTAAATATAATTTATGTACATTTGACAAAATAAAAAAACATTTAATTATCCCGGTGAGGGAGAAAATCTACATTCAAAATATATGTTCTTCATGTTTGGTTTCCTGTGCAGGAGGGAGTGACGGGCAAGAAAAAAAAAGTTTATTTTTGATGTAGTGTTGTCTACTATGTCTGAATCTGCGTTTGCAATGATACTAATTACTAAAGCTTAATTTTACAGCCTCCAACATGCAAACATTTCAACTATTTAATGACTTGTGTCTTCTTGGAAAATTTCAAAGTACTGTATATGTAATAAATGCCAGGCTGTAAAATAAAGCATTACTTTGTTCTCTAATCATTGTGTTCTTTTGCAACTATCGCATATCAGAAGTTAACTTTTTAACCCCTTCATTTATCATACAAGCATTTGCAGTAAATTATGCAGTGTATGTATGTATATATATATACCGGTGTATATATATATATGTGTATATATATATATGTGTATATATATATATATATATATATATATATATATATATACAGTCAAAAGTTCTGGCCCCCCTATTAATCTTTTCTTTTTTTTGTCTAAATATTTTGGTATTTGCAACAGCTATTTCAGTTTGATATATCTACTAACTGATGGACACAGTAATATTTAAGTATTGAAGTGAGGTTGATTGAACTAACAGAAAATGTGAAACATGCATTAAAACAAAACTTGACAGGTGACAAGATTTCGGTGCCCTAAACATTTTATTGATTTGAATACCCTTAACTAATATTCACTGACTTACTGAAACACAAAATTGGTTTGGTAACTTAATTAAGATTTGAACTTCATAGCCAGGCCTATCCAGTCATGAGAAAATGGATTTAAGGTGCCAGTTGCAAGATGTTCTCCTGTTTGAATCGATGAAGATTTATCATGGGCACCTCAAAACAACTCTCAAATGATCTGAAAACAAAGATTGTTCAACATAGTCATTCAGGGGAAGGATACGAAAAGTTGTCTCAGAGATTTATACTGTCAGTTTCCACTGTGAGGAACATAGTAAGGAAATGGAAGATCACAGGGACAGTTCTTGTTAAGCCCAGAAGTGGCAGGCCAAGAACAATAGAGAGGCAGAGAAGAAGAATGTTGAGAATGATCAAGGACAATCCACAGACCACCTCCAAAGACATGCAGCATCATCTTGCTGCAGATGGTGTCACTGTACATCGTTCAACAATTCAGCGCACTTTGCACCAGGAGAAGCTGTATGGGAGAGTGATGCGACAGAAGCCTTTTCTGCAAGAACACCACAAACAGAATCACTTGAGGTATGCAAAAGGCAATTTGGACAAACCAGCTTAATTTTGGAATAAGTTCATGTGGAATGATGAAACAAAGATTGAGTTATTTTGAGGGGCAAAAAACACAGCCTTCCAAGAAAAACACGTTTACCCAATCAAAATTTTCGAACATCATGCTTTGGGGCTGCGTTGTCAACGCTGACACTGGGAATCTTTGTAAAGTTGAGGGTTGCATGGATTCCACTCGATATGAGCAGATTCTTGAGAATAATGATCAAGAATCAGAAAGTTGAAGTTACGCCGGGGATGGATATTTCAGTAAGACGATCCAAAACAAAGCTCCAAATTTACTCAGGCATTCATGCAGAGGAACAATTACAATGTTCTGGAATGGCCATCCAAATCTCTAGACCTGAATATTATTGAACATCAGTGGGATGATCTGAAGCAGGCTGTCCATGCTCGGCGACCATCAAACATAACTGAACTGGAATTGTTTTGCAAAGATGAATGTTAAATCGCTCCATCCAGGATCCAGGAACTTATTAAAAGCTACAGGAAGAGACTAGAAGCTGTTGTTTTTGCAAAAAGGAGGATCTACTAAATATTAATGTCTCTTTTTTTGCTGAGGTGCCCATATTGTTGCACTTTTCAGTTTTTGTTTTAATGCATACTGCACATTTTCTGTTAGTCCAATAAACCTCAATACGGAAATATAACTGTGTCCATGAGTTATTGGATATATCATACTGAAATAGCTGTTGCAAATACCCAAACATTTAGAAATAAAAATAATAAAGATTAATAGGGGTACCCAGACTTTTTCATATGACTGTATGTAGAATTTTAAAAACGTAAAAGAGTATATTCCCCTTTACAGATTTTAATTTCTTACTTTTTGTTGTTTTAAATAAAACTTAATATTTATAATTTATATAATCAAAGATAATCCTTTGATAACAATCCAAATTGTATATGGAAAAAATAATTTTTCACTAAGGTTACACACAGGTTACAACTGTCATCAAGCATTTGTGAATGATAGTTGTGAATGTTTGTTGATTTATAATTTTGTGGCAAATTGTTGAGCGGTTCGTTTCAGTTCAGTTTATAAAGCTCCAATTCACAGCTGGTACAGGATTAACCTAAATCAAATCATACAGCTGGTTCTAAAGTTCTATATCTCAGGAAATCCACCAGATTGCATCGAGTCATTGACTTTGCAGAAAACAACTGCGTGAGCATGTAGTCACAGTAGACGGTCACTCATATTGTCTTTGAATTTGCAGCAGTCCATCATAGCTGGAGGAACAGTGAAGAGGAAACTCCCCTTTAGAAGAAAGAAACCTCCAGCAGAACCAGACTGCAGCTGACTGGGAGTCGGAGCACAGAAGCACTGATCCAGGAATGTTTACTGCTTCACTGGGAAAAACTTAATAAAAGCACTGGTTGGTTGCAGTAAAAGCTCAGTCACTTGGAGAGAAACTTAGATACACCCCAGATAAACAGAACAAACTGTATCATCTCGTATTATGAAGGGTTCTTTTATCTTTGCAACACATTGGATTGCATTAGAGCTGGCCACTTCGTCAAATGGGGTGTAAGTCCATTGATTTATTGATTGATTGACTTTATTGATCTCACAGTGGAGAAATTTAATCGTTACATCAGCTCAAATAGTCAAAGGAGAAGAATGTGCCAAAGGTGTATGGATATATATATATACAGTGCATCTACATAATACAGCTTTTTTACTTTTTTTCCCAAACCCCAAACTATAGTTTTTCTGATCTGTATTGAAGCTGAAGGTCATCAGCTGTTAGATAGACTTTTCCAATGTTTTCTTGGCTCAGTCGGCTTGTGCAAGTTTTCCAGGTCCTTAAGCATCAAAGCAGCCTCATATCTTTATACTACCACCACCATATCTGAATGTTGGTAGGCTTCTTTATCTTTGAAATGTTTTGCTTTGACTTCATGCATACCTGCCAGGGGTTGAGCTAGATGGGGGTCCAGGGGTGGCCATGGCCACCCTTACCCAATCATTGGCCACCCCTACAATTTTTTCCCCCTCTAATACAGATCGTGGCAGTAGTAATACTCTTAAGTGGAATATTCAAAACATAAAATTTTTTTTTGGTTAATTATACACATCAATATACCAACATCGAACGGGAGCTGCCAGCTTCTGAGCCAGCCAGGCTACCCCAGGGGCGGAGCTAGATGGGGGGCCAGGGGTGGCCATGGCCACCCTTTGCCAATCATTGACCACCCCTGTGGCCACCCCTACCATTTTCTTCCCCTCTAATACAGATGGTGGCAACAGTAATACTCTCAAATGGAATATTCAAAACATTTACGTTTTTCATATATTAACAATTACTTGACAAAAACGCTGTGGTCCATGATGCACATCAATATACTAACTTTAAAGATAAATACAGATGCCATGCTCTTTTCAGAACTAGATTTTGCGTTATATGCTCTAAAGAGAAAACGTGTCTCTGCAAGTCATCTGGGAGTCTTCAGTGAAATCATAGATAAATAACAATTTTAATAAAAACTTATCAATTAATCAATTTAGATTAGTTCTTGTAAATATCAATTTTATTGATACAAGTAGGTAAGTAATGACGACGGAAAAGATTAATTCCCCAGATCTCAAAATTGAAAGAATTTTATCCACTATACCTTTTATTTAGAAAGCACGGATGTTTAAATATATGCATCTACTTGTTAGCAAAGGCTGTAGGAAAGTATAGTTTGTCTTTATTTGAAAAATATGGATGTTTTGCACGTTAATTTTACTGTTAGAACAGTGTCGATTGACCCAGAGGTTCAGCCACTCCTCTGTGTTCATTGGTTATTGCCTGGCCACCATCATAAAAAGGTTCTGGCTACGCCGCTGATACCTGCTAAAAAACATTTCCTCTTTTCTCTTGATTCCACGCAGTATATATGTATGTATGTATATATATATTTATTTATTTATTTATTTATTTATTTTTAAATATATATATATACACTATATTGCCAAAAGTATTTGCTCACCTGCCTTGACTCACATATGAGCTTAAGTGACATCCCGTTCCTAATCCATAGGGTTCAATATGACGTCGGTCCACCCTTTGCAGCTAGAACAGATTCAACTCTTCTGGGAAGGCTGTCCACAAGGTTTAGGAGTGTGTTTATGGGAATTTTTGACCATTCTTCCAGAAGCGCATTTATGAGGTCGCACACTGATGTTGGACGAGAAGGCCTGGCTCTCAGTCTCCGCTCTAATTCATCCCAAAGGTGTTCTATCGGGTTGAGGTCAGGACTCTGTGCAGGCCAGTCAAGTTCATCCACACCAGACTCTGTCATCCATGTCTTTATGGACCTTGCTTTGTGCACTGGTGCACAGTCATGTTGGAAGAGGAAGGGGCCAGCTCCAAACTGTTCCCACAAAGTTGGGAGCATGGAATTGTCCAAAATGTCTTGGTATGCTGAAGCATTCAGAGTTCCTTTCACTGGAACTAAGGGGCCAAGCCCAGCTCCTGAAAAACAACCCCACACCATAATCCCCCCTCCACCAAACTTTACACTTGGCACAATGCAGTCAGACAAGTACCGTTCTCCTGACAACCGCCAAACCCAGACCCGTCCATCAGATTGCCAGATGGAGAAGCGCGATTCGTCACTCCAGAGAACGCGTCTCCACTGCTCTAGAGTCCAGTGGCGGCGTGCTTTACACCACCGCATCCGACGCTTTGCATTGCACTTGGTGATGTATGGCTTGGATGCAGCTGCTCGACCATGGAAACCCATTCCATGAAGCTCTCTGCGCACTGTTCTTGAGCTAATCTGAAGGCCACATGAAGTTTGGAGGTCTGTAGTGATTGACTCTGCAGAAAGTTGGCGACCTCTTCGCACTATGCGCGTCAGCATCCGCTGACCCCGCTCCGTCAGTTTACGTGGCCTACCACTTCGTGGCTGAGTTGCTGTCGTTCCCAAACACTTCCATTTTCTTATAATACAGCTGACAGTTGACTGTGGAATATTTAGGAGCGAGGAAATTTCACGACTGGATTTGTTGCACAGGTGGCATCCTATCACAGTTCCACGCTGGAATTCACTGAGCTCCTGAGAGCGACCCATTCTTTCACAAATGTTTGTAAAAACAGTCTGCATGCCTAGGTGCTTGAATTTATACACCTGTGGCCATGGAAGTGATTGGAACACCTGATTCCAATAATTTGGATGGGTGAGCAAATACTTTTGGCAATATAGTGTATATATATATATATATATATATATATATATATATATATATATATATATATATATATATATATATATATATATATATATATATATATTTATTTTATTTTTTTTCCAAAAAGGTCTTTAAAATAGAATGGAAAATATGAAACAGACCTTGTGGTTGTTGAATTTTAGACCAGGACTTTTTTTTGTCTTTTTTGTCATGTCATGCCTGCCTAATGTTGTCATGGGTTCTGTTTAAGTGATTTCCTAACTCTAACTCTGGCAGTGATCAAGCCGTGGTGTAGGTGGCAAGACTGATGTCATCTAAAAATAAAGAAAAGAGGTTAACAATTTAAATCCTTATTTTAGTGTTAGATTTTTCCCTAAGTTTTATACTTTAAATGAATTAATCTTTCCAAAACAATTTTATTGTATTAACTTGGGTTATCTATATTATCATTTGTCTGATCTTATGTGTTTAAGCTTTAGAGAGGTAAAGATCAGAAGGAATCTGTATGGAAGCCTAAACCATCACATTTAATGACATGATTATTTATTTTTATATAAATTAAATATATAAGTAAATAAATAAAAAATGACATGATTATTTTCTGGCGGTTTTAGCATTATTTAAAATGACATTTTAGTAAGTCTTCTAATTAAATGTTTGTTTGTTTGTTTGTGTTTTTTTTTTTTTTGGGGGGGGGGGGGGGGGTATTTTATTTAATTTTTTTTCATACTTAAATATTGAACCCCAGTAAAACTGGTTGTTAAATAGGACACACGACCTTTGAATAATCCTGGGACTTGTCACCTGTACTTCTTGGATTAGCCGCTGGGCAGCGGAATGCAAGAATAGGATTAGGATTTAATGAAGATCGAGCATAGTTCCAGACTTGAGACATACTTTTCACAAAAATGGTGTTTTATAGATATGGATGATTCAAGGCACAAAGACAATAAGAAGTAAAAGAAGACCATTCACAAGAAAAGTAAGTTTAAATCCACTCAAACATTTTTTTTTTTTTTTTTTTTTTTTGCGTTTTCTTTAGATGGCATTTGGCTTTTTCCAATTATGCTCGATAAAATAAAGCAATTTGTAATGGCAGACAAATATTCCGCTTATAGAGCGGTCAGGTGCATGCATCGCGGGGTTTTCTATCGGATATATTTTTAAAAGATTGTTTGAACTCATTTTGGCAAAGAAAGGAGGGTGGAGAGCAGGAGTAAGGCAAACTATAATCGAGATTCCCTCTAAAACTGACGCTACGCAACAGATTCTTACGGTGAAACGGGACGGGTAGATGTTTATTTGCGCTCTAGGAGCACAAAATCTACAGACGAATCTGTTTTAGTGTCGCTTTTAATTAAAAGAGGAATTTGCTTTAACTTGCTGCTAAACTCTGTGCAAGGCTCTGACAAAGACGTCATTTATTGAAGGATTATTTTCTTGACAGCCACTAGATGGCGCCATTTAACAAAAAATAAAGCCAGCTCTCAAATGAGTATTTTCAGCTTGCAGGAGCCATGTTAAAGAGCTGCCGCTTTTCTGACGTTTGAATCTTAAATGGTCTGCAAACATAAAGAAAACATCTTAATATATTTCTGTACTAAATTTTACTCTATGATCTGGTGAAGTGTAAAGTGCCTTGAGATTATATGTGTTGTGAATTGGCACTATATAAATAAACTGAATTGAATATGATTCATATTTACTTGCAGTATGGTGCCAAAATTCCAAGTAATTATGTCACTTATTTTTCTCTAAAGTATCTAATTACGTAAAAGTCATCTTACAACTTTTTAAAATGCCATAACTGAAATTACGTAATCCAAATTGCACACATATTTCAATGTAGTTAAAAACACTGATTTCTTTTGGACAAAATATTGTAAACTGATCATTTATTTAGGATATTTTCAGATTTCATTAAATCTTATTCCTATATGTTTTTTTTTTATTTTTTTTTTTATTGTTTTTGTGTACTTTTTAAATAAACTGATAATTTTTCTGCACCCCCCACAATCACATGAGGTGATGTGTAAAAATTTAAATAGGAATTATTCTATTGCTTTAGCTGACATTGGTGAGCTATATTTAGGTTAACATCTGGGTTATTTCCAGATGTTAGCACTAAGCTGCAATCATTAAGCTTCTTTTTAAGTTATGCATTAAATGAGATATCGGCTTCCTGAATGTCAGTATTCTTATTTGAGCTGTGTGTGCGTGTGTGTGAGAGAGAGAGAGTCAGTGGGGAGTGAGAAGCATGGAATGCTGTGATGTCATCAACCCAGACACACACACACAAAGACGAGGAGGTCCCACAGGCTCTCTGACTCTCAGCTCAGTTAGCACACTGTTGTGGAGCGGCAGCTCTCTACATCCCACTGTGAGTACATCAGCAAATTCTTCCCTTTTTTTACCTTCTGTTTTTTATCACTCTCTAATCCTCCTTCGCATGCCCTGTTTTCTTTTCTTCCCCCTGGGTTTCCTCTGTGACTCCAACCCCCTTTTCCAGTGTGTAGCAGTCTGTGTACCATCAATGTGTCAGTCTTTCTTAAAGCTCTTTCCCTCCAAGCGCTGCTACTGCTGGTGGGAGCCATTGTTTAACTTATTATTGCTGAAACCAGAGGAGTCGGTTTCCCTCCCACTGCTGGAGAAACTGACTCACATGCTCTAAAGATATAGTCAGGCTCTTTATGCCCAACAGCTGACTCCGATCAGGCTAAAATGGAGCCACTTTTGTGCTGAGCTTGTAGGGAGACAGGAACATGTTTTTATGGAGGGGATGTGTGTTGGGGAGGGGAAGAAGAGAGGTCGGCAGCTGATGACAGAATTGGTCCCATTCCTCTGAAAACTCCTCCCATTCTTGACTCCTCTGTCACGTTAGAAACAGGTTTTTGGTTCTTCCTTGTTCTTGAAAGGAAGAGCAAGATAAAAAAAAAATGGGTGAGAATTTAAGAAAGAAAGATGAAAAAGTTTGCACGATAAAATAGTTTTTTTTTAAATATATAAATATGTATGACTGCATGTCACCAAGGAGGAACATCATCATTGCTTAAACAATGTCTGTGGTTTTTTTTGTTTTTTTTTTTTTACAGATTTTCCCAAAGATGGGCTTCAAATTTAAAGAAATATAACATCTCATCAGGGTTGGGAGCACCAGTCACAAAGGAAACAGGGTTTTGAATGTGTGTGTTTGTTTATATCTGTGAGAGGATATGCATGTGTTCTGATTCACCCAGAAAACTTTGTGCGGTTCGTTGGTAGGGTTAGAAGGCAAGAATCTAACAGCATGAGACCATAAACCAGTACGGTAAAACATCCACCTCCAGCTGCTCCCTGAGACTTTTCCTACTTCTACCAGTTTCATCAAGTTACCAAACCACTCCACCGCCAAAATGCTGCAGCAGATTCTAAACGACATGTACATCGACCCCGATGTCCTGGAAGCTCTGAACGAGGAGCAGAAGAAAACGCTTTTCCTGAAGATGCGGCAGGAGCAGGTGCGGCGCTGGAAGGAGCGGGAGGAGAAGCTGGAGATGGAAGGAGGCGACAAGCGAACAAAACCAAGAAAAGGTAACCTCAGCAGCCAGTCAGATACATGCTATTTTTATTATATAAGCCCACTATCCTTCTTATTAACTTTTATTTGATAAAATGTTGAGGCTTTAGGAATTTCATTCCTCTGTAATCCTTGAGTTCTCCTTAAAATAGCATTTTAATGTCACCTTTTAGTTGTTTTCTTATTGCATTAGGACCAGAGGATGGGCCTGTCCTCTCTATGACGTTAATCTTGTTGGTCTAGAACCAGAAAGCTGCCGTCTCACTGATGTATTTGGGTTCATTGTTTGGTAGAATTTCCATTTCAAAACTACTTCCTACTTAGGAAGGCAGCCTGTTTAACAACTACAGCTGCTTTCATTGGTGCTTGGACATGTTGCACCTTTTCTTCATTAGAACAGAAGAGCATTTTCAAAATGTCGCTTCTTCAGCAACTTTATTCACCAATTGGACACTACTGTTTTTGCTTGTTTTGTCTGCTGATAGCTTTGCCTTACATTTGTGTCTTTTAATTGTTACTTTTACAGCTAAATGTAGACCTGATTTATAAAACTGTCAGTTTTCCTTGTTAATGGCTGCTACTGGATCTGATAGGATGTTGCTTCTCTAGTTTCTCCAATATCTGTGCTGGTTTTTATTCCAGTTAAAAGAATTGATTAATTAAAGCGGCTTATCATTTTGCACAGATCTTTACAACTTCTCTTCTTTTCATACAATTGTTTAATCAAAGCACAATTGTTGGATGTTTGTAGAGGAATGTCCCATAAAGGCAGGCAGAACAATATCCTACCTTCCTCCTTTTTGGCACAAGTTCGTTCAGACTTGATAACCTCTACAGTTGAATGATTTGGTCTTAGATAAATAGTAGTTTGCATGGTTTGGCTGTAGGTCTGCAGGGGTTTTTTTAAACTCTACTACATCTAGTGAATTATTAGCAACGTAGAAATCTAAATCCACTCTAAACATTGACTGGGCTTCTATTTAAGGCTGTGCTTTGCTACTTGTTGTGTTGAAGGAGATACAGCAAGGTATAGAAGCCTCAGGGTTTTCAAGTGTGCAGAAAGTCACATTAAACGCTTCTTTTCTCTTTAGAAGAGTTCCATTTTAAGGTATTTTATGTCAGATGTATGCAAAGTGTCCTGCAAATCACCTCCCAGACTCGCCAAGCTCCAGAAGGGGATTGGTGAGGCATGTGTGCGCTGGTTGTGACAGATCTCCTAAGCTGTGTGTTCTGCTGCTGCTGCTTTAGCTCTTGTTCACCTCATCCTGTTAGCAGCTGTTTGCAAACATGCCGAGTTTAAACAGGAAGCTGGATGGATACCTCAGGTTCTAAACAAGCTCTGCTGATTAATGATTAATAAACTACCGTTGGCATTTTAATCTAAAATATTCCAACATTGAAAAGCTGTAAATACGCAGTGTTTTTACAGCAATAGAAATAAGTATCTTAAAAATGCTTGCATTCCTGTAAATATATTATCTGATGCAAATGTTTTATCTGATTGAAGGTCAGTGTACAGATTGTTACCGTGTTTCCTGTCCAATCAAAATAGCTCAGTCATACAGCCAGTTATGTTTAAACAGCTGTAGAATCTTAATTTAAATTGTCCCTTATGTGTTAATTGGAGCGTATTTAGGAGCAAGGGTTGCAAAGCAGAAACTTCAAGGAATTGATGGAAAGGCACCAGCAGGATTATAGCCTGCAGCTTAATGTGATCCAGCACAGGAAACCTCTCCCTGCCTGGACACAGAAAGCATTGACAGACTGATCATGCGGGACCACCGTTATTCAGGGTGAATGCCTTGATGGCAAAAATGTGAACATTTCTGAATGTATTTGTTCTGAGTACTTTTTAGAATCAGATTCTCTGAATGTTAATGTCTTTTGGAGCATGTCTGAAATTCCATCTAGAGTATAAATCTTATATTCCCTCAGATGAGATAAAAATAGTCATTGAATACATATTATCTTCCCTGTCAAGGATCACAACTGTTCCCTACTTTTGCATTGTTCTGTTTCATATAAAGGTCCCAATGAAATACATTAGGGTTTAAGTGTGTGATGTGAAGTTGGGAAATATATGAACAGGTTTGAAAAACTTTGTAAAAGACTGTAGATTTTCTTTCAGATTGTTTTGTAAGCAGTAAGCAGAACCATGCATTCTAAGAAGCATCTTTTTTTTTTTTAACCTTACAGGAAACAGATGCTAGCTGAAAACATTGAAAGGATACAGTAAAGGAAAAGAATGTTTGCTAAGGGGAACAACTCATGCACTCTAAATAGTAACCTCCTCCTATATCATAAGAAACTGTAAAGCCAGAAACTTAGGAAGCTGCGTTACAGAATGTGGTCAATCCACTGTTTTGTCGTCATTGGTGTGAGAATGTGTTGGGTAATAACCTACCAACTAAAATGCCCTTTTAGGCTTTTTTCACACACAGAAAACAAAAGGGTATGACAGAAGTAGATACTTAAAAGCAAATTGCTTCCTATTCTTATCAACAACTGTTGAGGTTGAGGGAACACTGGCCTTTCTTTGTCTAAATGACTGAAGCAGCTGTCCTTAGCAGCTCGCAGGGCCGCAGCATTCTGAGATCACACGGTAGCAACTCTTCCACACTTGTTGCTTTTCCTTTCCTCTTCCTTCTCATAGAAGAAACTTTGGGGGGGTATAGGAAGTGAGTCAAAACGAAATCCTTTAAACAATTAGCGCAGAGCAAAGCAGGAAGTCTCACCACAAACGTGTTTTCTGCTTTCTGACGCCCATGTTTAGTATCGAGGCTCATTTGATCACAGGATCTTTGTGGTGAATCTGACTTCATGCTGTTTTCTGTGGATTAGTTGTGTTTCTGTAAGCACTCTGCTGACATGCACATCAAACAACATATCTGAAAGTCTTATCTGACAATATAAACAATTAACAAATTTACATGTTTTTCTTTAAAAAGGATTACTTTAATGGTGTCAGCACAGGTTTTCCTAAAAAGTGGATCAGATAGCCACAGCTGATCCAGAATGCTGCTGCCTGCATCCTCACTAAAACTAAGAAACTGGAGCACTTCATCCCTAAAGTCCTTGCAATGGCTTCCTTTGTGTTATAGAATAGACTTTAATATACTTCTGTTAGTTTATAAACCACTGAACAGCATAGCCCCAACAAGCATCACAGAAGTGCTAATGGATCAACCGCTCAGACCTCTTCAGCCCGGCGTACACTGTGCGATTTTTTTTTTTTTCAGTCGCACGCATCTTCTGCTCACTCTGTACGACTAAACGCAGGGTTTAGTTGTTTGTGCCAGCTTGTTTGCGCATGCGCACTGAGCGATTTGCCCATGATGGTCGGGAAAAAATTTAACATGTTTGATTTTCTCCCGAACTCATGATTAATGATCAGGAGGCGGTCGTGAGAGGCTGATCGCCGCTCGTAACCCCCTGTACATTACATGGATCCAGATGCACGATCAGGCTGAAAGTCGGGCCAATCGAAAAATACTCGCACAACTGGAAATTCTCCCCTAAAAATCGCACAGTGTACGCCAGGCTTAAGGTCTTCTAAAACAAGTCTGCTCTGAATACATAGAACCACTGTGCGAGAAGCAGTGTTTATGCTCCACTAATCTGGAATATACTCCTAGAAAATTTGCTAAGACCGTCCTTTGACTGAGCTATCTAAACATCATTAGTTAAATTTCCAGTCTAACTTTTATTGTTTTCCTAATCATTTAAAATTTTTTATATAATTTCTTATTTAAAGGTTTGCCTTTTTAATTTTCTTTAATGATTTTAGTTGCCTTTATGCAACTGTAATGTACCCTTCCCGTTTTTCTCATGTACAGCAGTTTGAATTGTCTTGCTGCACCCTAAATGCACCAGGGAGCGTTATCACAGATCCTTCCTCCCAGCAGCTGTGAGACTCTATAACAACCACAGTTCCCAACAACCTCAACAACTTGTTACATTCATGCTGATTTTTGCAAAGTTTTACCTTAGTCAGTTAGATAACATGCTGCTGTCATTTCGCAACATCTCTGATGTTGCTGCTATTTTCAAATATCCATTAATGTAAAAAAGTCCTTAGCTGGATATTGGTTATTTATTCTCCAGGTGCATAGTATTTATATTGTTGAAACACTCTACAGTAAAGTAGAGTGATGGAGTATTTCATTTGTTAATTTTTAACTCTTCACTATTTATTCTCATACACTTTTCTAAGGTCCACATTTGTGTGACAGTTTTTTTTTTCTATAATCGTTTTGCTGCTGAAACACCAGCATTTCCCAATACTGGGACAATAAAAGGATTTTCTATTCTATTCTATTCTATTCTATTCTATACTGAAATGTGCTATATAGATAAACTTCCTCTGCCTTTAAAAAAAAAGGGGGAAAACTGAACTTCTCATTTTTACATTATGATAGTATTGTACTTTCTTCTTACTGGATGTTGAAACCTGGTAGGTTGAATTAAACGTACCGCCCCTGTGGTCAAATTTAGCTGTCATGCACCTGACGTTGATGCTGTTGCTTTTGTTTGCGCCGGCTGTGTTTTCCACCATCATCCTGGAATGCGTGGCTGGAATGTGATCAACGGGGCAGACTGGTGCAACCAGCTCACCTTGAATATATACGAGTTCAACCAAGCCAGCTTTTCACCCTGGGACTGTGTCAGCACTGTTTTCTGAGTAAATTGAATTCTTGACTCTCACAGTCACAGGGCAGTGACACTTGTTTGTTCGGATGCAAATCCATTGTGCTTCTAAAACTCACAAAGACAAATAAAGAGAGGCTGTCTGTCAGTATTTCTTGGGTTTGGAAGTTGGTTTGTTTCCAGCGGGTCATAAGTGAGGGGAGGGAAAACCAGTGTGATCAGGTTGTTTGGTTGTTTTTTTTGTAGCTTCTGGGATTTGTTTACATGGTGTATAAACCTACTGTGACATTCCTCAGTCACACAGCTGTGCCGTGTCGCCTTGGACCAAACATCTATTTATATACTTTATATATTCTATTCCTATCAGCCTTTTAAACTGAGATATTTATCAGATACTCTGCTGTTCCATTTTAAAGATTAAGCTGAGCAATGACCATTCAGAACTGTTTAGACATCCATTTATCTAGAAACCATTTGGCAGGAAATTTCCCAAATATTTTAAAACCAAAATCGTAAAAGTTAAAGTCAAGGTTCTTGCACAATCTGGAAAAGTCTGGAATTTGTTTCAGTATTTTCCAGGTTTGAAAAAATGTGACAGGAAAGAAAAGCATATATTTTTCATTTCCTAGCTTCTTTCATTTCTTCCTTACTTCCTTATTTAGTCATTTAGTCCTGACTTCAGGCTGTAGGAGATTAATGACTATAAGTTTAATCATCCTTAAAGTCGTACAATAATTCCTTCTGACCCATCGTGGCCTTGAAAGAATGATTGCTTTACACCAACTGGGAAGAATTTAGGTGAACATGTTAAAAATTGAATAAAAAGTTATCATTAGTATATCATAAAAAAATCTTTATAATGTTACAACATAAAAAAAAAGATAAAACCAAACCCACACAAACAAAATCCCATAAACCCTGTGCCGACCCTCCTATGGACCACGGTCCCATTGCATGAACTACTGACTGCTTTTGCACATGGTGCTTTTACTGGAAATATATAAGTCTGCGTTTTAATGTACATATCCTTTTTTTTCCCTTTTTTTTTTTTTTTGAAGGACCATATCTACCTAAAATGCTTCTATTTTTTATTTTTTGAGTTAAAAGTTAAATTTACAATGTTTTGTAATCTTCTTCTCGGGGTATTTTCCTTTTAGAAATGTCCTGTATGGTTTCTTTTCTTTTTTATGTGTTTTTATGTCTGTCTGCATTAAGCAAGATCTTTCAGATGTTCCCATAACGATAATCAAGATTCTTGATGTTAAATATAGCACAGGTCAGACCCAGATTTTTTTCCTTCTGATTAGATCCTCATATCTACATTTCTGCAAATACCACCACTGTTGTTCAGAACACTTTTACTAGAGCATTAAGGATTGTATAAATATAGTTAAACCACATAGATTCTTCAACAAAAACAAACCAAAAGAAAGTCAGTCTAAGCAGCAGAGTGCAGGCTTTAGGCTATGGTTTAACTTTATCCTGCTACAAAGTAAAAAGAAAAATTGTGTACTTAAAGATAATTGGTTTACTCTTTAATATTTTATTATTCATGCAGGTAGCAAGACCTTTCTGGCTATAATCTCTTTGCAGCTCTTTAGCTGCAGTTTATGTGAATCACCAGACAGATTGTTGACTTTATTCTAATTTCCCATCAACAAACTACAAAATAGGTCAGATACCAGTTTTGGGTCAGATTTGCTCCTTCTCTAATTTAATAACTTCTAAAGTTATTACTAAAGAGGGTGGAGGAAAAAATAAAAAGACAGAAGAGAAAAAACAAAATGTTAAATCTCCCTTCACCTGTTTTTCCTACTGGGTAAATGTGTTATTTTTTTATTCATATGTTATATTAATCTAACTCACACACCAGTTAAGAAATTCATAAGATTAATATATTTTAAATGTTTCTTATTATCAGAAAAAAAAAACTTTGTTAGTGATAAAAACAAAACAAAAATCAAAGGAGGGTCAAAACTGTGTAAAAAAAAAAAAATAAAATAAAATAAATAATAAAACCCTCACCCAATTAAAATGACGAGATAACAGTAATGGCTCTATTGATCCTGATGGTTATATGAAGAAACTTTTTGTCAGAATCAAACAAGCTTATTAATGCATTTTACATTAAAATCTATTTACTTGATTATAATTTAACAAAGTCTTAGGATGCTCTAAATTTTTTTTGTTTTGTTTCATTATTTTTATTTTTTTTGTACAGCCAACAGTAAGAGCGTGAGCTGGATGCTTGGCCGGGACGGAGATGTTTCAGTCCTTGTGATTGGAGAAGTTGATGAACTGACTTCCAAATTCATCAACTCTGGATTTGGAGACAAGAAGACACCAAGTCTTCAGAACAATTTGCGGTAATCACCTTCCGTCAATAAAATATACCTGTTTTACATGATAGTGGGTGAATAGTTTGAAAAACTTAAACCACATCAGCTTTATTTTCCATATTTAAAGCAAATGTTTTTTGGGTTTTTTTTGCAGCCACCAAACTATCTTGAAGAGCCCAACAATCACACAGGATGTCAAAAGTGTGTGTCAGAGCGTCCCTCAGAAAACGCAACCTGCAGTCTCCATAAATTCAAAGGTGGCTGGTTCTTTGTTTGTTCACTAAGGAGAATCTTATTAATAATTTGCTTGTAAAAATGGTGGGATATCATGGTCATAACATCCATCCATCCATCCATCCATCCATCCATCCATCCATCCATCCATCCATCCATCCATCCATCCATCCCATCCATCCATAAAACAGAGCAACAAACTGCTTCACCATGCAGAACTTCCCAAATTCCTATAGAATAAATTCATAAGTTTATCAAATGTTTTTTTATTGTTCTACCAAGATTTCATCCTCTTACTTTAATATATTGACCTTGGGTGTAGTTCCTGCGGTTTATCTTAATCAGTAAAGCTTTTTTAGCTCCTTTTTAAAAAGGAGTAAACAAAGAAAAAATGGAGCAAGGCAAGTCAGCATTTCCCCACAGTAGGAGTGAAAAGAAAGGGGAAAAACTTCTGGTTCAAGTGTCAAAATGTGCAAAAAAAAGTTTTGGATGCTAAGAGGGATAAGACACAAGTTGAACTCGAAAAGCAATATGGACTTAGGTGTTCACAGAAGCAAAAACTAAAGCCTCATAAGCTGCCAGGTTGATGTATGACTAACTGCTGCCAGCAGATGGCGACGGCGTACAATAATGTGTATGTGTCCTTATTGGATTGATGCAAAAATTCTTTTAATACTGTAAAAGGACTAAACAAACACTATCAAGATGAGGTCCTCAAATAGATGGTTTATTTTAACATGAGGTTATGTTCTTTGGTGGAGATTTTTAAAACATAAAAAATGGTTAGAACCACTTTGATTTAGAAAATTGAAAGCCATTTTTATTTTTTCAGATGCAATGCATTTGGATATCTTTTCTATTTTTTAAAAGCTTAAATGTTTAGTAAAGAACAACTTTAGGCAAATCGATAATTATGCCTCAGAACATGTTTTTAAAGAGAATGTTTGACATATCTAAAATGTTCTTTGGTGCATATATATATATATATATATATATATATATATATATATATATATATATATATATATATATATATATATATATAGCAGCTAGCTAAGCTGGCGTTCAGCAGTTCATCTTCACAAAGCTCACAAGGCGTAAAATTACTATTTTTTATTGAATTGTAATCTGGGATTTGATTTGACTCATCTACCACTCACTTTTTTTTGTCTTTGAACCTTTTGTGTCTTAAGTTGCTTTATTGGATGAGGTGTTGCTGTAAAAGGAAATGCAGTACTCTTGCCAAACTAGATTATCATCCAGGATTCATCCAGGATTTGGCTATGTATATTGTTGCCGTCATGATCTTGCTGAAGACTTCTTAATGGTGATGCGCAGTGTAGCCTGACTTTGGTCCAAAAACCCTTTTTCAGTTGACTTTGGAGTTTCTGACGTGCACTTAGAGGACTTATAGACCAGTTTCCATGAGAGGGAACAAATCAGAGGCTCTTTGTTTTTTAGCTGGAATGTGGCTGAATTTGGTCTTTTCTCCTATTAGTACTAAATATGTTTTTTAGTAATTCTATGCAGTACAACAGTAATGTACTAAAAATGTTGATGGATTTTTTTTTCTTGTGAAAGAAGACAAATTAAATCAACCTTTATTTCATTTTTAAAAAGGAACAGATCAACCCTAGGAGATGGGTTTCTTTTTTTTTTCTTTTTTTTTGAAGATGTGAAACAATCTCTGCTGTTTTACTGCATTTATCATCCCCTTACAGATATCCTCCATTTTTTGGGTAACATTGGAGTGTTACCAAAAAAAATGGAAGATATCTGTAAGGGGATAATATAAAATATATTATCCCTTACTGTTGGCTGAAAAATATAATTTTATAAAATATAAGAATATAAGAATACATCTTATATTTAGTATATACTATACTAAATATAAGATGTATTCTTCAAAGACAAGTCCCTTTTTATCATAAAGATCATCTAATGTGTGGTTTATTTCTGGGTTGTTTATATTTTCATTATGTTTTGATTTTTGTAGTAATAGTGATGAGACTACTCCCTTTTTTCTACGCAGCCTGAAAAGAGATTTGCTATGTTGTCATGGGAACCTTGCACACACTAAGCTGTAGTTATCTAGGGTGGATGGTCTCATCTGGCCTGATGGTGCTCTGAGCTAAAGCAGAAATGGGAGCAATTCATGCGCTGTCTGGTTTTCACACATCCTGCCTCCTGATACCTCAAATCCTTCTGCGTTTTTAAGCTCTGCTCTTTTCTTCCTCTAATTTGTTAATTTTTACTTAGAAGAATATATACCTGAAAGCTGCTTCACCTTTAAAGTTCAACCTTTTACAACAGCTAACAATGCTCCTGTCTCTTCAAACAGGAGAAATGTGAGGAAACCAGCACTTTACGCCCTCTGCTGGTGAGTTGAAGCAACTGCAAACATTTAAACGCTCCATTTATCAGCTCTCACTGGAAGCCTGAAGCTCATGCAGAGATTAGACCCACAGGTGTCAGGTGGTGAAGCATTCACTTTCATCAGCAGGGAGCACTCCATTATAAATCAAATCACCTTTTTTTTCCTGTTTCCTTTTGTTTTCAGAATATGTCATGTAGCTCATCATAGATGTTTAATGTAGCAAAGACAAGCTTGGTTTGAAATGTTCAGTGCACATATATTCCTATTGACAATGTAACAGTCCTTTTATAAATGTAGCTCTCAGGTCCCCTTTCCTGTGTAACAGGAAACGTCTGTAAGGGCCAGTTGTTCCCTTCCTCCATGCCTCTAACCAGATCGTCTTTCTCGCAGCAATTCCTCTTCTCTGTGTTCAGTCTGGTTTAAAGTGCCCCACCCCTCATAGCTCACTCCAGGGCAGCTGGGGCAGCTGTATTCAACTGTCCTCCCACAGGCTGCATTATCTTTCCAGACTCGTCTTGTCTGGGGAGCATGCTTCCTATCTCAGCAAACTTTTCTTTCTGTTTCCCTGTTTACGAGTTTGTTAATGGTGTGTGTTGTGTTTAGGTGACGTGCTGTGAGCTCAAACGGCTGAATGACAGAGGATAGACAGTGTTTCTGAACTGCCCCAGAACAGATGGATGATGAACTTGATCAGGGAATTAAAACGCCAGAGAAGGAGAATGCGTCAGTCGCAGATGGATGGGATTGTAGAGTAGTCCCCAGAGATTTGGGCATGCGAGTTTGTTCTTTTTTTTTTTTAACCCTTCTTTTTGCCACAGAAGGAAACATCTCTCCCTCAAATTTTAATCTGTTCTTACTTCCTCATATGACTTTTCTATTTAAAAAGCAATCAATAGATAATTCAGTGATTTGGTTTGTTCAGATGGATGGATGGTTTGTTCCTGGAGGAAGGAAAGTCCTTGTTTTTCTGCAGCTGATTTTTGTCAGGGTCTGTGTCTTGATGCTGCAGGCGGAGAGCATCAAGCAGTTGATTAAGAAGGCGTAAGATCAGGAAGAAAGATTAGCAAGGCGGCTTCTTTTTCAAGAAACCTTATAATTTTCTTCCCACACATCCGTAAACTTCTAATCAGTGCTTATAGCTGTGTGTGTGTACATGTGCGTTTCAGGACATACAGAGCTGTCATTGAATGACTGTAATTTTGTGAATAATTGATCATGTGATTTAATCACGCATGACAGTATTTCCACTGCATGTGAATTGGTTGTCAACACTGATCTCCCTCTCTGGTCCTCTTTTATGTCGCTGCTCGCTCTGCAGCCCCAGGAGAAGGCGCCCAGTCCAACCAAGGAGAAATCTGTCTCCCAGGCCCCCATGTGCTCCAGGCTTTCCGCAAGAGACATAATGGGACCTGCTTCCGCTAGCTCCACACCGGGTTGTATCAACACGAGGCCCGGCATAGGAAATCTAAAGCCAGCAGCCTCTACACCATCATCCTCCACCATGGGCACTGTCCAATTAGACTCTGCATCAGCATCCACATCTAAACGTAGCCCATGTTCCGAGGAGCCCCAGAAAGCCCAAGACTTGACGACTGGTAAAGGTGAGTGAGCATGGCATTGGAGATTAAGGTAAATGTCAAAATCCATTTAAGGAGGGACTGTTTTAACCCAGACTGTGAATCCCCTCCATAATACCTGCTGTGCACGTTCAGATAATGCATGAAAAGCAAAGAAATGTGACACGTTCATTATGACAAAACCATAGATAACCACCTTTTTGCTGTAATTTAAGTGACGCCAACTAGAGTCCTGCACGGGTCGAGTTTTACCAACCCGCACCCGCCCGAACCCGTTAGGATGACTACCGAACCCGACCCGTCACCCGCGGATATCTTCAATTCAAATCCGAACCCGACCCGACCCGTTGATATTTAAAGGGACACTATGCAACATTTTTCAGTTAATTAATGTGTTCCATAACGTTTTGGATGATTAAATGAGTCATTTCAGGTTGAACAAAGGTATTCTCGGCCGCCCTGGTGGTCTGTGGGGGAAATACTGCACTTGCAATTGCAGGAGCACCGACCCGCACCCACAGGCTCAGAAGTCTCGTGAGAGTCAGTCTTGCTTTACGGCGAGAACTGCTACACGCCCCCAGTTAAAAGCATTCTCGTTGCTAGCACAGTGGCAATCTTTGTGCAGTTATGCCACGTTCACGCAGCAAAAGCAGCAAAATCGCGTCTGCTGCTTCCTTTTTGCTGCTTGTACCAGTTAGTTCTGACGCGCGGCTGAAGCAGCTTTGCTGCTCTGGCTGCGCGGTGCAAAAGTGTGTCTGAGGCGCGTTGGGCGGAGCTTCACTATCCTTTCTCTGCCTTGCAGCTATATTTGCTGTGATCAATGGGAATAAAGTAGTTTTAATATGTGTTAAGTGAGAAACTACACCTGAAAACTTAATCAGTGCAGTCAGTTCATTCAGATTATTATCCTGCCTTCAATATTTTTTCTGTCGGAGCCGCTCAGACCCCCACATACCAGGGATGCGCCGACAGTATGGATCCCTTCATCAGCAGCGGTTCACCGCGGCAGCTGGTAGGTGTTTTTCATCTAAATAATCCAAACTGCATATTCTGCCGGCAGATTTCTGCATTTTAAGTTAATTTAGGCGTCAATAAACTGTTTAAAAGGAGTGATCATCAGCGCTGTGTCTCTCTCCCTGCGTTAAACGCACCCGACGCGCTGCTTCAGCTGAGCAGCAGGCGCAGCACCGCACCGCGGGACCTTTTGCTGCGCCTTGACGCGCGTCAACCATTGACTTTGCATGTAAACTCGCTGCTTTTGTCGCGCCAGCTACGTCCAGTGTGAACGCAGCATTAGTCATTCGCTGCTAAGCTCAAAACAACCGCGCCTGGCTTGACGGAGAAACCAGGAGAACAGCTGAGCATATTTACGACAGTGCACTTTTACTTTCGCCCTCTGGGGGGAGCCTCGCTGGAAAATCAACACCGGTTGCATAGTGTACCTTTAACCCGCAACCCGACCCGTTAACACATCAAGTAATAGGCTATAGTACGCTGCGCTGCAGAACAGCGCCATTAACACTGCAGCAGACGTGTATGCACTGACTGTGGCCTTTTTGGAGGGAAGCCCATACTGCCGGCAGGGCTTTAAGCTACAACAAGGGTGACCCCAGTGCCTGATTAATATAACATTTCTGATGTCCATACCAACACACACGCATAAAAAAAAAAATCACCAACTACCCGCCCGCACTAAAAAAATATCCGCCTGACCCGTTTATTTTTATTTACGTATTATACACCCGCAAAAGAGCATTTTAGCGGGTGACCCATTGGGGACCCGCGGGTACCCGACCCGTTGCAGGACTCTAACGCCAACTATAATTATACTAGCTGGAAATGTCAGCCAGTGGAAACAAAATTTGGACAAACTTTGAGGCAAAAACAAGGGCCCTGCTTTTGTCTGCAACAGCTCTGTAAATTTATTTCAAGGCAGCAACACACAGATCCAAGTTAAAGCCCAGGTTTCTCACATACAGAGAAGGAATACTAACGGTCATTTAGGCTTTGAAGGAACTTATGTCCGATAGCTTTTATGAAAGCAGGGGAGTGAATATAAAACACAAACAAGAGCCCTGTTTTTATCACGTATATAAATAGGCAAGCTCATGCCAGTATGCTGCCTTCGATATAGTTGTTTTGAAATGAATTAAGCAATGCAAGCTTTTTACAAGCTAACCAGGGAAACTTTTACTCTGACAAAAACCCAGAATTCTTTGCCTTGGTACAGGCGAACATCACCCTAGCTCCAGTTTATAACTGTTCATCCCGCCGGCAGCTTCTGTGCATCTTTTACATTTTCCAGCACTCCTTTTAGGTTTTAGAAATGGATTAACCTGTTTTCCAGCCTCTGATTACTTTGGGTAATGAATCTCTGATTTGCATTTTCCCACTGACAACATTTAGCTTTTTATTTCAAAATTGAAATATATTATACACATTTCCACATCTGCCAGTGAAATGGCTCCAAATCAGTCAGATTGGAGGTAAAGCGTCTGTGTTCTAAATTTCTAAATCATGTGTGAGATAACAACTCTGATAAGCTTCCTCCTCCTCCTAAAGACTAGCATCCCCATAGCATGATGCTGTCACCTCCGTGTTACATCGCAGCAACAGTGTATTCAGTTAAAGCCACACAGACTAAAACCCTGAACAATTCCCATCTGGAATAGGTAAACTAAAACAAATGCACATTTCTTTCAGAGTGGTTTCAATCTGACATTTAAATATGATGAGAGGTAGGGGCACATGCCCTGGGGGAAAACGTGCAAACACCTTAGTCCTTGATGCGCCAAGCAAGAATTAAAGACCCAGCCCGTTAATATTTGACACAATCCCATTTCCTGTCAGCCTACTTTTAAATAAAGGCTATTAATGCCAAAAAAAAGATAAAATGTGATGAGAAGCACAGTGATTTCTGTTTTCTTTCTGTACATTTCTTACTGTACTTATTTTGGGGATCTGGTACAAATACCAGATCCACATAAATGTTTAAAATCTTGGTACACAGCCTAACAAATACGCAACTCAAACCAAACTCAGGGTAGCCACATCGTTCAGCTTTGGTCTCTGTTTCTGGTAACTACCATCAGGCCTTCCCATGGCTTCAGATTTGTATTTATTTGCATCACATTTTCCTTCATTTTGAAAACTTAACTGGATTTTATTGTGTCAATTTTCCCTTAAATTACACACTACTTTGTACATACAAGTTTGTGGTTGTAACTTGACAAATTACTTGCCATGGACAAAGATCTAAGCCACTTTTGAGGGGGAAAATTTTTTTTCTTTTGTTTTTGTTACCCGTAAAAGAAATAATGGCCGAGCAGAACAAGACTGAGCAAAGTTCACACTAGAAGCACGTTTCTCTGCACGGCAGTACGGAGGAGCGATTTATTTCCCTGAGCCCCCGCATGCTCGCCAAACAGTGCCTCAGCCTGCTGGAATCTGTGTGGACTGGCAGAAAAAACAGGGGCCTGCCACAAAGGCTTATGAGCCTGGGATTTGGCCCTTGCTAAACACCTGGGTCTTTGGTTCCCTCCCTAGATTCTTGTTTAGGGGAAGCACTGATGAGAGGAAACGTGTCTTCTACTGAAAGCCTGAAATAAGAGGTTTATAGTTATTTAATCTGTCAGTGTAAAACAGTTTTTTGACTTTAGTGGGTTAAAATAAGCATCAGACAAAAAAGCATAAACAGACTTCCCTTTAGTTACTGTTTTTATAGAAGAATGGTAATTGATTGAATAATATAATTCTAATAGATTCATACAATCCTATTAACAAAAAATATATATGTATTATACTCTCTATTTAAACATTAAAGGGAAACTATTCAGTCTAAACAGACCCTCTGTTACAAAATCATTTATTGCGTAAGGGTGACATTAGCACCATCCAGCGGAGAAGTTTGATATTGCAGGAGGAAAGTAAAGGAGAAAGTATCTTTCTCACAAGCTCCCTCTGCTGGAGAAATGCTCTTCCTGCAGCAACATTATTTCCTGTGCTGCTTCACTTGTTTGTCCAAATTCAGGTCATTTCTAAAGAGTTTGAAATTTATAAATCAGGTTGATTAGCGAGTATTGATGTTTTTTTTCTTTCTTGAAAATCTTGAAAAATGTTGCAAAAACCAAATCTTAGTACTTTAGAGGGGACAAAATGTTACATTTCAGTGTGCCTCTGAATCCCTCAAGAATCCCAAAACCAAGGTTTGCTCATGGTGTTGTCAACCAGAGGATATGATTAGTCTCATGAACTTTAATAATGAAATTAGCATCATTTGGACTAGGCTTAGAACTTATATTTTGATGTAAACCTTTTTTATTTATTTATTGTTTGTTGTTATTTTTATTTTCATTGGTTAGATAATACTAAACACCAGGAAAAAAAAAAAACAAAAAAAAAAAACATGAAAAACAGAGTAACAACCCTAATATGTTTAGCTCCTGTTAAGGTTTCTAAATAATTTTCCATTTTCAGCTTTTCATTGCTGTTGTCCTAGAATCTATATATATATATATATATATATTTCTCCATCTTTACATTTTCTCCACTATCTCCATCTAATTGTTTAAGGAAGCAATTAGGACATTTGAAAAGAAGCTGGAAAAACAAAGAATAATCTCTGATAAAATGTGGAAACATGAAGGATCTGGTAATAAGATTGTGATTCTAGAGCAGCGTGTATCACAGGGCCCTGGGTAAGAGAAAAGAAACAGCTGTTGTAGTGTGCTGGCTGGCGTTCTGGTGGCCTGGAACCATCCTGGATCAACAGATCGTGACTTTAGACGCTGGGTCTAACCTTGGCAATTGTAGGAAACTCGTCCCTCAGGAGGACGAGGCAAACGGAGGCTCAGCTGTTTTCATTTGAATGAATGTACTGAGAAGAATCCCTGTTAGCACGGACAGGAGATGCGCATTGACAGACAGTGACTGGAACTGGACATAAGGGGTGTTTTGGTCAAGCAGCAGTCGTGAAGCTTCCGTCATTACTATAAAAAAAAGAAAAAGACAATAGAGTATGAGTAACTATCAGAGGAAAAACAGAATAACTTGGATGGAGGAAAGAAGAAAAAGAATGTTGCAGACTCTTGGCTAAATAAATAATGCGAATGAAGATATTTAATGCTTGATAAATGAGAGAAATATATAAAAACATCTTTTTTTTCCTGCTCCAAACATTAAAAGAAAACAATGTGTCTGTTTTAAGTCTTGTTGATAGAAAGAAGGCCCACTAAACCTTTAGATAAGATTCCCTTTTTGTTCTCATGATCTACTCATTACATTGTAAAAACATGATAGTTACTGTAAAGTAGTGGAAAGAGGAAAAGCATCTCTGATTTGCTCCTTTACTGTCGTTTTGCTCAGATCCATCAGATGCATCGCTAAAACTCTTTAGAGGCTGAAACTTTTGTCAAACAAAACATTGCCTCAACTTGTTCTGAAGCACAAAAAAACAGCCAAGATGTGCACTTTTTAGTTTTTGCAGCCGTTTTATTTTTGCTCCAGGAGCATCCTTCAGGGGCCGTAAATTTTCAGGCACGTTTGTGTTTAAAAAGCCGCTCCTCCTCTGTCCACTGGTTTCGCTTGTCCCTGTCTTCACCTTGAGAGGAGAGGACAGGCATTCCAGCGCCGCTTTCCAACTCTAGCCCAGGGTGACGCTTAGTCGGAGCCCATAAGTGACAGGGGCCCCAGACCCCCCTCCCCCCCCACACACAGGAGCCAGAGCCTCTACACACAAACACACACACTCCTCTTCCTCCTCCTCCCTGCCCCTCAGTCTACAGATGTGCTGCTCAGGAATTCTGCCCTATGCCCTGCTCCTGCCCCATCCCGCCCCCCCCACCCCAACCCAACCCACTCAGCTCCTCCTCTTTTCAAGCCGGAGATGCAGAGATCTTTAAAGAGATAGATTAGCTTTTGATTTTTTCTGCTAGTTTGCCCGTCCTCCTGGTGTCCCCTGTACAGCTTACACACTGGCCTGAAAGATGATGAGCAACCTTTAAAACCTCAAACAGAAGATAAATCTCAGCTGAAAACCGATTGGTCGTATTTTATGGATTTATAGGTAGCCTCAAACCGTTTCCATGAGCAGAGGTCTGGGTGCAGCTGCCCACGGGGGGTTTCAGGCATAAAAGGGTGGAGTTGCAGCATTTTTTGGTTGTGTTGGGACAGGTTAGTCAGGCTACCTGAGGGGAGGTGTTGGTCTTTTGCCATCTATTTCACACTGAATGCCCAGATCACCAGTCCAACTTCTCTTTCCTCCCTTTTTCGATCTCTCCGTCTTTCCATTAAGCATTCCGCTCAGACCTGCACCAAGGCTCCAAGCTCAGAAAACTCTGACCACGAACGTGTGTGTGTGTGTGTGTGTGTGTCTGCCTCAATTGCTGGAACCTATCCAAGGTTTCCGTGGTGACCGCACAACACAACGAGACAATCAGAGGCAAGCCCACGCAGCGCAGCAAGAGGACATTAACGCAGGAACCGCGGGTCAGGGGGCAGAGGAAGGCAGGGCAGGACATGCGGGGAGGAAGATGAGGAGGAAGGTATGGAGGGATGAGGTGTCACCGCAGGGAGAGGGGGCCAAACCAGGGAAGAGGAAAGTAAATAAGAATAAACAGGCTTAAAATCTACTTCAGGTTTCCTCCTTTCTTGCCTGCAAGATGTCAAGCGCCTTAAAGGTTTCCTGCCCCCCAGGTGTGTGTGTGTGTGTGTGTGTTTGGGCTTTAACAACCACCTCTGTGCGTGTGCAGTGGCGTGGTATTAGTCAGAGATGGCGGCATGCATGACTGAATCCGGGAGCAGCAGGGGTGTGTGTTTGTGTGTGAGAGAGCATGCACGAACCTGAACGATATGTGGCATGTGTGTCAGTGTGTGCATGTTTTAACTTTGTGTGTGTGTGTGATTGAGAAAGAGAGAAAGAGAGAGAGAGAGAGAGAGAGAGCGCATACGCACTCGGGTACTCTCACATATCTCTGTCCCCCAGGGGACGACGCTAAAAATATGTGGCTCCTCAAGCCTTCTGGTGTCTGAGCAGCGTCTGTCTGCTCTCTCCTCCATTGCCGTCCCTGCGGCCCTCCCTCCCCTATCGTTCGTTACTCCCGTTCCCTCCATTCCTCCCTCAATTACAGCCCTCTTCCAAAACATGGCACCGTGGCGATCACGCACACACAATCTACGCCCCAGCTGTCTCCCTGCTACACTTCCAGCGAGGATGACCTCTGCTCACCCACGGCTGGATGAAGGAAATGGAAGGAAGGAAAAAAAAGAGTGAAAAAAGAGAAGGAATATAGAGAGATGGCATCTGGGGAAGGGTAATGGTAGCAGTTGTTGAGCTGGAGTCTTGCTTTTTACGAAACTGGCTAAAACTATGTATTGGTTTTATTATTCGGCATTTCTTTTTGTTAAACTGACCGATATGAACTGTCTACAGTATATGAAGAGTTAGGAAATCTGTTCCAGATATTTCTACACCTTCTCTTGGTTAGGTATAGATTAGAGTCCAACATGTTGGACGGATTATGTGAAGCTTGCGTTCTGCCGACAGAAAAGCACTCAATTTTTTTTTTTACTGTTGAAGCACACAGACATATTAACCATATATCTAGATGTTGTTGAGTCCTTAAGTTCATTTCTCCTTTGCTCACCACACTTTTCAATGAGATGAAGGCCTAAGCTCTGCAACCTCAGTTTTGTCTTTCTGTGATGGTTTGGCCTAATGACGACTGTTTCAAGTTCAAGAAGGCGCTTCTGGTAGCCTTTTATCAGTCATAATACTCTTGCAAATAAATCTACAAAATATTATATGTGCAATGTCTACCTTTTATAAAAAAAAAAAAAAAAAACATTCACACATTCCTTTTTTTTAAGATTTCATAAAGCCATTTCTTATAACAATGTTTCTCAGGTCTTTCGAAGACGAACAGGCCCACAGCATGACAGATTCTCCTCTATATGTATTTTCAAATATTTATTCATTCTTTAATGCCAAACCATCAGTCAACAGTCATTGTTTTTTTTTCAATCCTGCTAAAGCAAATCAGTGCAAATTTGACTGATTGTTTACAAATACCACAGACCAAGCAAGAGGCCCTTGATCTGATTTTAAATGCAATATGTAAAAAATGTAAATATACATTTTAACTGGATAAAATCTGTTATAAGTGAGTTTACTATATATTTTTTAAATACTACAAGAATAAATGGTTTCCTATCCAACCTGGGCAATATATATATATATATATATATATATATATATATATATATATATATATATATATATATATATATATATAATCAGATTAGAGCAGTATTAGAGTATCTCAGCTTTTTTAAAAGCATATTTGTTTAAAAGCTGCTGATAGTCTGTTTTTTATTGGAGCTTTGGATCACATTTACTCTAATAAACTCTTTGTCCTATCAGTTAAAGCCTTGGAATGGAGATTGAATATCAATTTAACATATTATTCTTCTAATAAGATGCTTTAAAGCTTAAAGATCACAAATTTTTCATTTGATTTTCCATAAAATAATTTAGAATGCCTTGGGTGTGAACGTTGCTAAGGTAACATGCCTTGCCTTACCTTTTATATCCAGGACTCAATATAATAAGTTGCCCTTCAACAGCAGCAGTTTGTGAGAAAGACCTTTGTTAATAAATATTATGGTGTGTTAATATCCTGTTACTTCACATCAGCAAGATTGTCTTGTGGTTCACATTTAACATTTCGCATTTTACATAATCTTCTTTATTACAGGGAGACAACAGCATTGGGCATTGTTTTTTCTTTTCTAAAGTTGATCAAACCTTTTGTTTTTCAGAAACCAGTGCTCTGGAAAAATTTCGGAGGGCTGAGTCAGCGGAGGCTGGGAAATCACTGAATGCAGCGCGTTTCAGCCGGGTGGCTCTTCTTAAGAAAAACTTCAGTGTTGACAACCCGGGCCGCGCCATTAAGCCCCCCCTTCCCACAAAGCCAGACCACTTGCGTCTAACAACCACACCCACCATCAGGTAAACCATGAATATCAATGGACACTCTCCCACCTGCATCCAAGAGTCCCTCTGCTTAAAGTAACGGCGCACAGGATGACCCATGAAGCCAAACGTTTAACCTCCGTTAGAGAAAGGAGAACTCGCTGTCGCTCTTTTCCCAAAACCCAGAGAGTCACATGTTTAAATGCAGAGATCTATTTTCATTCTGTAAATGTCTTTATTGGGAAAGACGAAACAAAATGGCTGATTGTTTTGTGACAATTCTTTTACCTTTAGTGAAAAAATCAAGATATCTAAAGATTTCTTTCATTGATGCTTTACACTGCGTGATGAGAAACATTTACAATTGTATTTAATTCACACAATATGAACACATCATTATGTCACCTATTGCATAATTGAAATTGAATATTTTTCAAGTTTATTTTCCTCTTGGTTTTTGTGTGTTAGAAGAAAAGAAAGGGCATTGGCGATTGGTGCAGAGGGGTGAAAGCAGGTACAGAAGGGTCCTCCCTCATCTTATAGTCTCCTCCCAGGGAATAGTGTCAACTTGTTTGTCACACTGCGATGTACGTCTCCCTCTGCCACCTGGCAGGAGTCTCACTGCAACTCATGGACCAATGATGGTGCCAAACGCACACTCATCTGTCACTCCCAGTGGATCAAATCCTGGCAAGTTAGACAGTCGCTGCCAAACAATCCAGCTCTTCGCTGTTCTTTTTGTCATTTGTTGTTTTTGATATGATTGGATGTTGTCTTTTGTTTTGATCTTTTCTATTTGGAGGCACATTTTGTAATGGGGAAATTTGACATTAGCACATTGCTCTTTTTTTAAATGAGGTATGTCATAATCTCTGATGTAAAGATTGAAGGGTGCGGTAAAGTAAGAAATAAAATGTTTAAAGGAGACTTTCTAACCTCTGAGTTTCTGTCAGTCTTTGTTGTCTCCAAAGAAATAAATGTGAATGTTTCTTCAGAACACTTCTCTTTCACCACACACATTTGCGTAGCCATAAAAAAGGTTCTAGGCTGAATATTTGCTCTCTCCCCTTTGGCAGAATAGGAAGAGTCAGACATTTTTGGACCACACTTTTAGGCTTAGTCAACAAGTATTCAGTGAGTTCAGATGTGGGGTCATGTTGACTTTTCCAAACATAAAATCCCCCCAAACATTTAAATGCCTGTAAAATGCACACCCAATTAAATTAACCACAGTTCTTCAACTGAAACACACGTATAAGCTTTATTGTTTAAGACAGTTAAATCTATTTTAACTGTGTGTGTTTTAGTTCTTGAAGTTGAAACATTTAGAGATTTCAAATTGTTCCCTTTATTTTAATGTAACTACATAAATTGACAAGGCTGCAGATGCAAGTATCGCGTAGCACAAGTTCATATGATATGATAAGCACAGAACTTGTTGTCCTGGAGATGATAGATCTGGATATTTCTATTTGGAGATTCATAACAGCTACTCTGGAAAAACACCTGGACATGTGAACTTTAAAGACTTTTTTATAGCAAGCTTAAAGTATATGGTTAAAAAAAAGGTAATATAGTCTTTCACATACAAAAAGCAAAGCATCATTGGCATAAGGTGCAGAAGTTTATCTCGCAAGCAGAGGGGTGCTGGTTAAAAAGCCAGCTCCCTGAGTAGTTCTGTCCTTGCTCCACACAGTTCTAATGGCTTTCTGATGATGATCAGCAGACCGGTTGGCGCCTGTGTACAGCAGCCCGGTTTCTACTGGGTTCCCACGGATAGTGAGTGAAATGGCATTGAGTTCATAACTACATAAAAACCTGGCCTTAATTAAAGCGTGTTGAATACATCTTTCTATGGTCTCAAACATTTTGAACATACAATTAGTGAGAGCTCATGAATGTAATTAGTTTCAAAATCATTGGTAAATTGTATTTATTTCTATTATAGTTTAAACTCTAATTTTTTACAAAAACGGTTTGTTTGGGATAAATGAAAAAATGCACTGGCTGTGTTACAGCAACTAAGCTGTCATGATTTTGGAGCTGATGACTGGCTGAATTATTCATTTCATTCTCCTGTCTAACTCTTCCTGGTTTCCAATCCCTGCTCATCTGATCCACCTGCTCCTGCCTCTATTTAAGATGCTTGCTCCCAGTCATCATCGCCAGATTATCATGTTCTCTCTATCCAGTGGTCAGAGTGTTTTAAGAGTTCCTTAATGTTTCTGATTTTCTGAACCTGAACTGTTTTGACTGTCAACCACTAAGCCTGCCTGTTCCTGTTCTGAACTGTTAGCCTGACCTGGCTTGGGACTCCTGCATGTTCTCTTGGGCTGCAGCATCTGGGACACTCTGGGCGGCGCCCACCACATTTTGTTGGCAGCCCAGTAATCTGGCTTAAGTTGCTTTTCGAATAATCCCACTGTCTATCCTACCTGAATCCTGGGTCCTCTGTTCTGTGTTGTGACATAAGCATAGCAGAGCAGCATGAACACATGCTACTGTATGCATGTAAGTGAAATCTTTCCGTTTTAAGCAGTCAAGATATTTACACTGGTAGCATAATATGTGCTTTCAATGCCTGTATTTCAATGACATTGCATATAAATCAGGTTAAAGTCCTAATTTCAGATGTGTATAAACTCCTATTTAGAAAGGAATAGACAGGTGTATCTACTGACACTATCTCAGTGTCTCGATACCTTTTCTGTCGCAACACAGGAGAAAGGAGGCCAAGGTGCGCCTCTGGATTGGTGGTCATTCTACAAAATAATACAAACACCTTAATATTCTTTATTTCTATACACTCCATCAGTTCTGGTAGTAGTAACAAGCTAACGGACTGAATAATGTCATTTTTAATCAGATTGACCTGACAAACAATTTTAGGTATTTAAAACATGATATATTCTTAATTCAATAACTTACTCAGGTAAATATTCTTCAAGTTATCAGTAAAAGGGCAGAAAAGGCTGTGGAGCATACTTTGCATCCGATGAGGAGTAAACTTTACTTTTAAAAACATTCAGATTACGTCATGCACTCAGTGTTCTAACAGGTTAATGCTCAACTGAGAGATTCCCTCTTTTGCATCTTTTAAAAATGCATACAGAGGTCTTGTTTTGATGCATGAGCCACAAAAAAGCACTACTTGTTCAAGAGGATCAATTGGATGGATTTTGGGGGTTTTTGCAATAGATTTTTCTTAGTCTGCATTATGAAGAACAAATGCAGAGGCAACAAACACAAATATTACACATTTACAGTATAAATGCAAAAATAACTATATGGATGAACACTTGTAATCACACCATTATGGCAAATCTACATCTATAAAGCAACACAATAATACAGCAAAGCAACGTTCAGCAGCTGCTGCATTCTCCACGTGAAACACAGCGTGTTTTGTTCATGTTGTAGATCTGCTGTTTTTGTTTTTCTTCGTTCAGAAGCAAGCTGATCCTCAAGCCTTTTCTTCCCCTCAACATGCTGCATTCTTAAAACAAATACACTTGTTTTGCCATTACCATGTATTGTTTCAACTGGGTTGTTTGGTGTTATGAATATGGTTTAATGTTCTCTTAAGTTTTTTTATGTCCATGGGGTGCAAATCTAAAAATAATTGGATGTAAATTTAACAAATTAATATCCATGATTAAAATTATATATATATATATTATATATATATAAAATTATATATATATAGATATATATATATATACATACATATATATAGATATATTCTACATATTTAGTGTTTTGTAAAATATTTTTTAATACTGAAAATGTAATGATAGGTATAACCGTTTGAAAAGCTTTGTGACTCTTTAGTATGACGGCCTAAGTAATCAGATCTGATCAAGAAAGCATACTCTGCAAATAAGACTCTGCAGGCCAGATATACATTGATCTTCTATATTTTTGTTTTTGGCCCCTTCTCAGTTTTTCGAAGCTAAGCGCATCCCACTGCCAGAAGAAATACAAAGAGTCAATCAGCTTTTCATTGGTTTTTACACCATGAAACGCAGTGAAATATATTGTCTCTGCTGTGCACACTCTGTTGTGCATGCAAGTGCGCGGAAAAACGCTGAAGCACGCAACTGTTCTCGGCCTGCTCAGATCTCTGTCTCCCATAGAGCCTAACAATGGCCGTAGCTGTTCTCTGATGCGCAGAGACATCGTCGAGCAGTTTCCAGGAGATATCTGTGGCGAGTCCCCTGGTATGTCCTCCCCTCCCCACCTCAGACATTTCTCTTCATCCAGCAAGCCCGGCCTCTGTTATGGTTAGGGCCCTTCAACAGAAGTTGGGGAAAAACAGGGGCTGTTGTTGTCTCCTTGCGGGAGAGATAAACGTGTTTTCCTTTTCTTTCTGCTGGGGAAGGAAAGCAAGAGAGATAAAAGCAACACTGCATGCTGTGGTGTTCCCCCTAACTGCCAATAACTGCACACCTCCTCAGACTCCGACAACAGGACCATCCACAGCACCTTTAGCAAGAATAAGAGAGTGCAGGGAGGGGAGGGGTGGGGTGGCAGAGTAATGCCATGTGATATAGAGAGCATGCGGGCACAGCTTCACCCCCAGGCAGAATGAACGGGGGCCTGCTGTGTCTCTCCTGCATGATTAATCTGGCTGAGGGGCAGGAGGACTGTCATGGCCCTGTCTGCATTAAATCCCTACTCTACACACACATCCTCATAAAGCCACAGATCAGCAGAAGACCTATGGTCATGCTGAGGTTAGAACTACAACTTGGAGGAAAACAGTACCGGTGACTGAGTTGGAGAAAGTTTAACTTCTGTCTCTGAGCCAAGGGCAGCATCTGGATGTTCCTCACATGCAGACAGTAATCCTTCCTCCTGTGCCCAAACTGTGCAGAGCTCCTCTACGTGAGGACGTTCGATAGTCTTGGTTTCTAGGTAGTTGCGGTTCTCAGTGACTCATCCTCTCATGTGACCTCTGTCTCCCAGGCAACATTGTGGATGTTCCCTGATACTGAGCTCCACTTTTTGTGTAATTCATACAAGGCAGATGGGCCGGGAAATGTGGCTCGCTCTTAAAAAAAAAAAAAAAAAAAAAAAAAATTTACTCCTGAACGCTTTTGAGGTACATCATCTTGTCCTACAGTTTTACACTCATTCACATTCTGGATAAATAATGTAGTTTTTGTGCTTTTTAGGCCTTCACAATGACAGGATGATCTTTCTGTCAATGGTACAAAAATAGCAGGATAAAAAAGGATAAAAAACTCAGATTTTTTTCTTTGTGTAATATTGATAGTTTTTAAAAATACTTAAATGTGAGCGTAATTTACAACTGCAAGCTTCCACAACTCTGAGGTTTTATATACGTTTTCAACAGAATTACAGTAATATCACTTCTACTACAGAGAAGAGAACTACTTCAGTTTAGAAAATCTGAAAGAAGTCATTGAAGCACTCTGCACATGATTTCAATTACATTCAGTTGGTCTATCACAACTCATGTCTTCTCAAGGCCTCTTAAAAACAAACCAGTCAAACCACTTAGATAGATTGGTTAAAGGTTTTGTATGTAAGAAAACCAAGGCGATGGTAAAGAGAATTGGCACTAACTCTGACCCCTGTGGTAGGCTACTTCACAACTAACTCTGGAGCTTTATTTATCATTAGCATCGGCAAATTTAAATCAGATTTAAAGCTATGGTTGGTAATATTTAAGAGTTAGCAACTCTCCCCCTTCCTCTTCCTCCTCCATTCAAAGCAATGTCCTCACCCCCAAACTCGAACGTGCATCTCAAAGAGAACCTGGAAAAATACAGGGGAGCTGACTCTGCCATTTCTTTCAATATATTTTGGACTTCAACCTAGGCCCCGTCCACACGAAGCCGAACCCTGGCCTAAACGCACAAATTTTTCACCAAACCAGCCACTCATTCATACGAAGCCGGCGTTTCGG